TGCTTGGAAACCTAAGGACAATTATGACATGGCGAGCGAGTATTTTGTACTTCAATTTTATGGCTTTCCGTCACTCACAAGTTAGTTTGATGTTACGTACATTATTAACATTACAGAATCCACATATTCCTGCCAGTTTTAATATGTATTTTGTAATCAACAAGTGTGTAACACCGGTCAAAGTTTGACACTTCTCTGGCCATTATCTCCGTAACCGTTCAACTTTGGACATAGGTGTTTTGGGTTATATCGGCATACTTTAACATAAGAAACACCCTCCCGAAGTTTGGTCCATTCCTCCTGGGACACCCTGTATAATACATTAATTTTCTGTTGTTGTTTTTTTTTTTGATGATTTGTAATATTTGATTTATAATATTTATTTTATGTGAACTATATGTTTTCAGTCTAGAACTGTCTCCATCAAAGAAAATGGAAGTCTGTAAGATAGTACATTCTGCTGTGCGAACATCTGTCTCACTCCTTCAGAAATGTCAAATTAAAATCAAAGAGCTTGTCTATTCTGAAAGTGGATATAAACAAGGCTATTCAATGTCTGATGTGATTGTCAATCTTGCTGCATTGTTGGATGTGAATTGTAAACTTACACCAGGATCTACAGATTATTCAGAATTCAAGGATGGGATGTGGTATGTTTTACTATATTGTTACAGACATTATTCACATTGATTCGGTGTAGTTTTGGATCTGTAATCCCAGGTCTGTATATTTAAGAAATCACTTGATCTTCATACATCTTCTCACGTCCAGAATATGAGCATTCAGAGGTTGTTTGTCCCATTCTTTCTTTATGGCACAGAGCTTAATAAATTAGACTCCATAGTGCAGGCATGCCCAACTTCAGACAGGTTGTGATCAACTATTTAGTGTCAAAACTGCCAGTGGTCTATCACCCCCTCCTATTGTTGTACCTTGCTTTAAGCAAAAATACTGGTAAAAATAACACGACGCATGATGTTTGTTCTAAAAGCAATATACACTGAAAGTACAGACTACTTTAATAGGTACTTTCCCTTCAAAATCTGAATATAATCATATTACAAGTGAATTTTCATGCTTTTCACATATAATTTCCTTATAGGCCTATGAGATTGACCAAAAATCGTCCCGCGATTGATGCGTTGGACATGCCTGCCATAGTGGATCATCCAAGGTGGGCTCTGCTTGCCACCAGCTTTCATGCTGGTTTCTCGCTTGGCTTATTCATTGACCCTGAAGGCAGAGGAGACATATTCCACTGAAATGTCAGTTTACTTTCAGCATACTACACAGTGTTATATCCTAGAATGTAGAACTTGTCATGTATAACATATTTTCTAAAATTTGTTTTCTTTGACATGTTTATAACGATAATGAGAAATTGATTTATAAAATTACTTTTCCTGTATGGACATATTTCGTAGTGTGAGGTTATCTTTCATTTGGAGTCCTAGTTGGGTAAATGTTGTAGTGCACTGTGAAAATATGACTGATTTATGAATGATTATAGTGATAATAGTCGGTTCTCAAGAGAAAGTTCTCATTCTTCTCTTGATTGTTGGAAGTTTTCTAGCTTCTTGTAATTAACTGAAGAAGTGATTTTTGCATATGCCTAAAATTTACAAAATTAAAATTAATGGGGAAAGATAATTTTGCGGGTTGTGGTGCAATTAAAATTGTTGTATGCTGTGCTGGTCTTCATGTAATTATTAAATTTGGATGCTAGTGATCAGTTTCAAGTCCTTTCTGTTTGTTTTTTCCTCCATGCATGTTCACTTGTTTGTTGTTGTTGTGTATTATTTGATTCTGTTTACTGGGTGTTCTGTTTTTGTGTCCAGTTATCAAAACAAGGTTGTGTTATTTGTTGTGTCTTTTTGATATCAGTCAAATTGTTTTGGAGATTCTGGTTTGCTGGTGTTGGTATTGGGATAAATCGATGTAATGTAAGCATATGCATATTAGTTGAAAACAACACATGACATTGAAGTGCGACATTTTGTACAAGAGTAAGGATGTTAGATTCCTCACTGCAAAAGCTTATGTGAACACTAGACCAGAGCTGTAATGTTGGTTATCAAGTTATGAAATTATTTTTCCAGTTACAGACTTCAATGAAATGTGTACAATTTCTCAGAACAGTAGATAGATTTAACTTACCATAAAGACCCGGTTTTTGAAAACTTCTTCTGGGTTGGGAAGACATTTAGTCAAGTAGATATTTAAAATGAATACGATTGAGATGAACCTGTCCCTACATAAATTTCAGACATGAAGAGATTGTAACAGGAGTTCTGTTGTTGCTTGCAGCCATGCAGTTCCTGTTACATTCGAGAATCCTCTTGCTACTGTTACATTATCGTCTTTACTAGAGTTGGTGGCTACATTGATGGGCTGTTCAGATCTGCCTTTGGACACACAGTCCAACTGTGGGATGTTGCTTGTGCTCCTGATAGTTGTGTTGGATAGCACAGGTGGAGAATGGTTCAAGGTCAGTTTTTCAAGTCAGGGTAATTCTACCAATTCTATAGAGTGAAGTATATCTTGAGGAGCTTATATTAACTCAGACAGTCAAGAAATTCTCTACTTATGATACTTGAAGATTCATTGCTGTGTTCACAAGAGACCACTGGACATGCCCTTGGCCAGAAAAATCCAGTCCACATCCTCATAACCTACTTCTTTGACAGTAATTCTGTTTGTCCCAATTAATATAGTAAAATTAAAAGGGCCTGTCCCTTCTGACATATTAAAATATACTGAAATCTCGTATAAAATTTGGGTATAAGGAGAAAGCTAGGCTGATAATACCACACAGTAATGTTTAACTGAAACAGGAATCCCATCTACACCTAGGTCTCACGAGTGATTTCTTCCTTCATGTTTCATGACCAAAATATTTTATGAATTGTGCATCTTTCTCGTGTGTGACACATGCCCCACTTATCTCATTCTCCTTGATTTGATCATCCCAGTAAACTTTGGTGAAGAGAACAAATTATGAAACTCCTCTCTATGACATTTTCCCCAACCTCCTGTTATTTCCTCTCTCTTCAGCCCAAATATTCTTTTCCTCGCTCTGTTTTTAGGCACCCCCCAACTGAGTTCTTCCATTAGAGCAGCCATTTTTAATTTAATTTTAATTCTTCTGTGTAAGGCTGTCTCTCAAATTCCTCCTCCTCTTATCTTTGGCAGCTGCAACAACAAAGTATATGTTAGATGACGTGTGATGTCACCAGGTTGCAGTTAATTAGGTAACAGTTGTAGCTTAGCCAGCAGTATCAAGCTTTCAACTTCACCATATTTTGATCATGTGTAGTCAGTATAGCGACTGGCTACGGGCTGGATGATCAAGGGGTCGGAGTTCCGAATCCTGACAGGGTCGAGAATTGTCTCTTCTCCATGTTGTCCAGGCTGGCTCTGGGGTTGACCCAACCTCCTATCCAGTGGGTACTGGGGGCCCTTTCCCCAGGGGTAAAGCGGCAGGTGCATGAAGCTGATCACTCACCTCCAGCTAGTGCTGAGGTCAAGAAAAAAGGATCTATACATCCACTCCCCCCATATGCCTTCATGGTGTAATGCTTAATTAGTTAATCACAGGGACAGCTTTACCTTTAATTCACAGATTTCAAGAAACGGGAGTCAAGAGTTTAGAGCCCTTTTGTAGCCTCATACTTTGGTTATGAAGCACAGATGCTTTTGGGCAACATAAGGCTATAGTGTAAGTCCAGAACTCATTGGTTCACCATTGGTTCATCGCTGTTAGTTCCCAGTGCTTAGTTATTAACTGTTATGTACTTATGTCTGTGTATTTTGGGCAGTGTAATTTAATAATATACTTCATTGTTGAAGTTCAGCATTTTCCCAAGGAGCCAACTTTACTATCCATTGATTAGAAAGTGTATTAGATTTGAATGGAAAGATTTGAATTGTACAAGGCACTCCTGGTAATGCCTTGAATAAGCAAATTTTTCCCCAAGTGGTCAAACTGTAGACACAGAAACAATCACTAAGATCTTGTGGTACAAAATCAGTATCAGTTGGAAATTTTATATAACCCAAGGGGTAAGTCATGTTTTGGTGGGCAGCTGTTGGTAGGTTGAATTAAGCAGGGCGGTATTCAGCATTATTGTCCCAGAAGTAACAGACTTTTTTTAGGATGTACCAGGGGTTTCCATGGTTTTATATGGATACATCTCTTGGTAGAAGAAGTGTCCCATTATTATTGGTGCTGTCTCTTTGAGCAGATACCATTCATACAATTTTTGGTTTAGCCAATGTGAGCTGCACATCCATTTCATCAGCATTTTCACAAATTAACCTTTGTGACAATATTTTGAATAATTTCTTAAATCCATGTTATGTAGTTTATGTATCATTCTTATCTCAAATAGTTGGTAAATATACAAGGTCTTTTCAAATTCTTATAATTATCAGCTGTTTTATATGTGGTTATTAACGTTGCCCAAAGCAGTGTTTACTTTCTGAATTGAGTGTGTGTGTGTGTGTGTGCATGTATTTGGAAATGTACAAAGCCATTAATCTTTTTAAAGTTCACTAGGTATCTTGTGCAAACACCTTGATTGAGATTAGCTCTTTCTAAGGGACCCGACAGAACCTTTTAATGATTTCATGCTTATTAAGAACTTCATTACTTTGTAACTTCGTGGGTAGTTGTTGGTACCTAAATACTTCTCATGTAGTTGCTTGTACTCTTCTCCAAGTATAATTAGAATGATCAAGTCAAGGAGGATGAGGTGGGCAGGGCATGTAGCATAAATGAGAGAGAGAAGGAATGCAGAAGGGAAAGCCAGAAAGAAAGAGACCACTGGGAAGACCAAGACATAGATGGGTGGACAATATTAAAATGGTTCTTAGAGAGTTAGGATGGGATAGCGGCCTCCGTAGTCTAGAGGTAACGTTCCCACCTCATGACTCGTAGTACGCGGGTTCAAATACCTGGCGGAGGTCGTCAAATTTTTAAGGGCGGAAAAATTCAGGGAACAAGTCCTCCGGGAGGGACTTTAAGCCGTGGGTCCTGTGTCGTAGCTTTACGGCACATAAAAGAACCTCATACCTCCAAAGGAGGTCACTGAGCAAAATTGCGGACGTTTGCAGCCCAACAGCAGTCACTAATACCTCCGGTAGATGGGGGAAGCATTATAGATACTTCTTAGCCAGTAGAGCCGGTCTCGCTGGCTGGGCGGGACTGATGGTAAGCACCAATACCGGTAGGATATAGAGGCTGGTAGAAATCATAGAGGGAAGTACAATGGACCACTACAGGTCTAAGTGCATGGCGAAACCCACCCTCTCTAATAACTAACTAACTAGGATGGGATGGTATGGATTGGATTGATCTGGCGCATGGTAGAGACCAGTGGAGGGCTCTGTTGAACATGGTAATGAACCCTCGGGTTCCTTAAACTGCTGGGAAATTCTTGACTAGCTGCAGAATTGGCGGCTCCTCAAAAAGGGCTTAGCTCCATTAATAAGTAAGTAAGTATGATTGTCATTTACTGAAGCATAGTATCATGTTGGATCCTGTAAGGTAAAACTTATGATTTTTGTTTTCATTTTATTTTAGGGCTTAGAGAACCAGAAAGTGCCATGGAAGGTAGACCTCTCAGCTGTTTCCTTTCAACTCAATGTGTGCACTGGAATGCTGAATGCTCTCAGTACATCAGAGTTATGTTGTGTGCACACTGTGACTGGTGAACCTGTTATAAATTTCATATTCCACCGTCTGTTTGACATCAGCAAAAGGTATTTTATGTGTTCATGTCACAAATTTGAAGACTCATAAGACCACATGAGATTACCTGCTACTGTATTTTGGAAGTTTTCAGGAATCAGACCCTAGTCACATCAGCCATATAAATGCCACAGACCAAAACAATGATTAGCCTATACAGTGCATCTAAAAACAAAATATTCAAAGAATATTATGAATTTTCACAAGAGGCTGTGTGAAAATATGTCTGTAGAGTAAGGAATAATATTAGTTGATTGTTTCATGTTCATGGCATGGAGAAGTGGAAGCCCAAATGTGTTACATAAAAAAAAGTAAAGTAAAGGTATCCATGTAACAGGCCATGGTGTCCCATAGGGTTGTGAGATGTTGAGGTTCCCACATTTTCTAGACAGTTGGCTCATAGATGGCGGTAAGGTTGTCAGCCCTATGTGCCGGCCGCCCTTTAGCCCCAAGAATATTCCTGGTACTCATTTCTGTTGTAGGGTGAGTTGACCCCAGGGCCATAGTGTGGCTGGAAGGATTAGGTAAATCGAAAAAATCCAATGACCTCATTGGGATTCGATTCCATGACCTTCCGGCTTGTAGCATAGTGCCTCAACCAACTACGGTACCGCGTGCCCCCAAATGTGTCACATTAGAATAATAAAATTATTTGCTCATATATCATCTTTATAATTTATTTTTAAAAACTTTTACATTTTAATCATCTTTTATTTTTCGTTTTCTTGTGGTCGTAAGTGCAGCCAGTCGTAAGTCGCATAGGTCATAAATTGACAACCAAGTGTACTTTTAAAGGGCTATGCTCAAAGTTGAAAAGTTATTTGATCTTCAACACCTCAGTGAAGGAGAAGTAGATGGTGGCTGCAAAGAGACAGATTGTGAAATAGGGCGGAAATTATTCACTGGGATAATGCTTAAGTCTCACCTTGAAGGTGAGTAATGTGTAAGGCAAGAACTTGAACTTCCAATGCACAGAACAGTTTTCTACCTTTTTTGGACCCTGCTATAACTTTCTCTTAGACGTGATGTAAAAGATTATTTCAACTTGTTTGTAGTTCTGTGATGTGGTAGGCATGGAAACGTGTCAGTTTTCTGCTCTTTACCAAAGAAAGATGCCACATCTAATTCTGTCGGGGAAGACATTGGTCCTGAGAAGATTGCAGTATGTATTGCCACTTCAGTGTACACAAGCGCAGTGGGTCTGCCAGGAATAAGATAAAGTGAAAGCCCAATATAATGGGCATAGCTTTTAGTGCAGGCATGTCAAACTCAACTTGTTCAGAGGGCCACCTCAGCCCTATAAATAATAGTCCAGGGCTGCACTTCAAAATGGAAATATACATTAGATTTTGATACAAGGAAATTTAATTCTATATATTATTTAGGAATAATTTCAATATAATTACCTAAAGTCACATATCTTACAGTCCTAAAAAGCAAGAGAATGCCATTTTTGACAAGTATCAAACAACTTTTCAATGTGTAAAAAGAGAGATTACACAAGAAATTATGTTAGAAATAGCAAAACATTGAATTTCCTGCAGCCTGCTAATTTATGTCTGCATGAGACTTCTTGTCTTCTGGTCTGTTCGAAAATTGTCGTTACAAAAAATATTTCTATTAAAATTTTAATATTNTTTGATACCTTTAAGGAATGTGTAAAAACACAGGACATTGCACTACTTCTAATGCATGCCTTATATCCTGCAAAAAGCTTGTATGTAAGTACTGAATTGAATGCATTCACTAGTTTTTATTCATGTTTACCAATCTCTCATTTCTCCTACTCACAAAGCAGCAACACCCCTCATGCGTGACATCTCATTTCTTGCAGGAATAGTAGTCGCATATATGAACTTGCTCATCACAGTGAGATGAAGTGCTTATGTATATACTGTATTTTAGTAATATTTGTTATAGTAAAAACGCTACACTTCAGTTATTAACATGTCCTTACGGTTTATTATTAATAAACAAGAGGAGAAGCACTGCTTCTCTGTAATAGAAACAAAGCATGTCTGCACTTTACACGTTACATCAACATTCTGCCTAGCTTCATCATGGCTACCAACTTCATAACTTTTCTTCATCAATATTACAATCTCTCAACAATATTAAGAGGCATGGTATGTTCTTGTTATGGTAAAACAAAGAAATGCACCAGTGGGAAAAAATGGTGCAAGCCTGAAATGGCAGTATATTCCTAATTATCCATGTGCAAATATCCAGTCTGTGGCCTATCTGGGCACCTTTTTGGGCACTTTCCCAACCATGCAGAAGACATATTAAAATCTAAAAGTTTATGACGATGGTACATTGCTACAAGTATTATGTTTTTGGACATTATCCATCATCTTGTATATATTTAAAAACCATCTTGTTTATTTTTCAAAACACAACATTTTGGAGACTGAATTCTGTCTCCATCCTCAGGTGAAACCTACTCAGTAGGGCCCAATAGATAGAGCTAGTCCCTATCTCAGGAGTGGGTCTTCTTATTGTAATAAACTTTCTCTGTATTGTTTTTAGAGACTTTTGTGTAAGTCTCAGAATTATTCCAGCTCCCTAACTCTAGTGGGGTTACATGAAATAGGTGAGTGAATTTGAGTGACCAGCTGTAAGGGTACTCTAGTGATCTTCCAGTAATGGATGAAGTTTGTCATTCATTTTATGTGTGATGTGTGCACTGTGAACATTGTTATACTGGTTCTCTGTGACATAACTGCAGGACCATAATGCACAGCACACAGTTACCAGAGTACCAGTGCAGATTTTGTTCAAGGGCAGACAGTACAACATTCTCTCCTGCTTTTCCTCTCTTACTCTATTTTGAATCCAAAATACTTGCAAAACATATTACAGCGCAGTTTTCACACTTTAGACAGCAGAAGGAATGGCTGTTTGTTCTGATTGTAAACTTGTTCCATTGTAGAAGCACTGCAGATTCTGGAATGGTTTTGGGTGTCAGCCGTGCGCTTCATCTTCTGTCCCGTAAGCTCTTGAGCACAGCCATACAATTGAAAGATGTTTCTGTTGTGGATGACATGCTGGAGTTTGTGTGGACACATCTGGAGCACTACATGGACAGTGTGCGACACAGTGCTTCAGGCATTCTGCTGAATCTAGTGAAACTGGGATCGTCTCTGAAACAGGATGGTCTGTGAGCTTAATTTCTAATTTCTTCTCTCTGTCACATTCCTCATGCTGCAGCAAGACCTGTCACTGTATATTCAAGATATACTTCTGGATAAACACAAATTGTTGTTTTGCTCTCACAAACTGGACTACTTTTAACTCATAATGTGATTTTCAACCTTTTTCGATTCCTGGCACACTGAACAAGGTGCTAAAATTGTCAAGGCACACCATCATTTTTTTAAGGAGAGATTTTGTCAGTAAAAGAAATTAATATTATGGTGGTGTTTAAAAGTTCAATAGCTAAAATTTTGATCATTATATTATTTTTAAAAATAATATTGATCATGGATTTCAAAGATTTAATTTTGAAATTTATGTCCATATTTATTATTATTCCAAATACACTTGGTCGTCGACTTATGACTGACTTCCGTTCTGACTGACAGGTCGTAAGTTGATCTGGTCGTATGTTGGCCATATATTTATTAACAGTATTTTTTTAACCTTTCTAATCTTTTTATCATCATTATAATTTATTTGTAAAAACTTTAACATTTTAATCATTTATTTTTCATTTTTTTATGGTTGTAAGTGTGGCCAGTCGTAAGTCGCATAGGTCGTAAGTCGATGACCAAGTGTATTGAAATGAGATATTGTTGAAAAATATGTCATTTATAAAAAGAATCCTGTGACATATTCCACTGGGGTTCTTTTGTTTGGTCAGTGTGATGAATCCTTTCAGGCTTCCCGATGGAGCACCGTCTGTGCTGATGCATGATTTCCATAACAAATCATGGAAACTGAAATGACTGTCAACAACATCAAGAACGTGTTGGCATATTTTATTTCTGGGAGTGGTTTGCAAAATAAAAGTTGTTCAGTGATATCTCCATTACAAACCTGCTGAATGCTAGGAGTTTAATATTATCAGTGATGTCAGTTGTTTTGTCCAACTGGATAGCAAAAGAAACATTCGCGTAAAATACAACCATACTGTATTATAAATTGCTATTGTGGCAGACAAGTAGTCAACGTAAGGCAGAGCTTTGAGCTCCCGAGAACAATTAACTATAATCTCTGGCAGAGAGCAACACAACCTAAATGAAATTGTTACTAACATTTTGTTAGTAGTTCTTGCTATGAAGCTACTTAAGCTGCAAATATAAGAAAAAATGTAATTATTTGTGTCCATGCATTCCTATGCCAGGAGTGTAGTTTTAATCATAAATAATTTACCATTCGACTTTTCTCTGAGAAATTTTATCTTGCAATTATCCTGACAGTATGTTATTTTTGTTTTGCTTTTGGCTCCAGAGTTAAGATTTTATGAAACATGTCATATGCATGAGGTTGTTTAACCCCTTGTGGATTATGGTCATACTAGTGTGACCATCAGTATTTTCTTGACAGCCTATATGTGTTGCAAGGGTTTTTCATCACAGGATGATTGTTGTACACATGAAAAAGCTTTGCAAGAAGTGCAGAGAGTGAGGGAAGAATAGTAAGCAGCAGCACACATTGTTGGTAGGTAAGGTAAAGTGGGGAAAGCTGCCATCTACCCACTTTCAGTACTCAGACAGTACGTATTTTTTACGGGCACAAGAAATGTTCTTAGTTTACAATTATCATTGATTGTAGAATCTGTCTTTTACATACACTATTTGTAATGTTACATGTAACATTCCAGCTAGTGCCAAGATCACAAAAACGTGGATCTGTACATCCACTCCCCCATATGTCTTTATGGTGTAGTGCTTAATTCATCAAGCACAGGAACAAATTTACCTTTTACCTTGCCAGAAGACAGCATGTAACATTCCATGCAGTTTTTTCATGTTCATGCAGCAAAAGTGGGGGTGACAGTTTTTAAGTATAGTGTGATTTAGTCTGTTCTTTGTACTTATGATTTTCCTCTTATAATTTGTGTTATCATTTTACAGGTTCAGATGGCTGTAATGTCTTGAGTACTATTGTGGAGACTGTCATGACAATACCAGTGCACAGCAAATCCAGATACATTGGTCTGGCAGTCTTGGCAGATGAGATTGGATGTCAGGTGCTTATTGACCAGATTCCAGATCTTGTTCAAAGTTTGTTGAACTCACTGGCTGATCCTACCCTCACCACTCATGTAAATGTTACAGTATACTACGTAATATGTAAGATACTTTTAATGGTTCAGTTTAAAAATAAAAAAGGCATTATGTTTTATTGGTTATGTTATTTTGCAGAACACACTGCATAAATTCAGTAGCAGAACATTTTTATAGTTCATATTATATGCCAAGATTTAATATGTAAATGCCTAGTGATTATGACTGATTGTTTATATACATTTTTCATCATTAGAATAATTGGTTATTGAATATAGACAGGTTTAGATCTTTTATACTCCCTTTTTCATTACCTATTGAACAGTATAGTCTGAGAATAAAAGGAAGTGTACCAGGTGACTGTTAGAGTTACAGTAGTTACTGTTACAATAGTAACAAAGCAGAAGTATATTCAAAAATCAGACAGCAAATAAAATTATAGTTTATTCAGTTATGATATTGTCACATGTATGAGTTTGACTGTAGATGGTGTTTGGATTGGTGATAGGATTTATTGAACACTTACAGAAAGTAACCGTAAGTAACTATGACAGGCTCACTGTGTTACACACTCTAAAGATCATTGTAACTGTGCACACATAAAGTCCTTTCAGTCTTCCCTAGCCATTGCTTGGTGCAGTCTCACTGTGTTACACACTCCAAAGATTGCTGTAACTATGCCCACATAAAAGCTTCTCAGTCTTCCCTAGCCGTTGCTTGGTAGTGGCTTCAGTGGTGTATGTTCCCTTACTCTGGGTTCCCGAACTGTCCCCAACTTCAGCTAGCAGCTTCTCATAGCAACAGCTCACAATGACTGAGCGCCAACAGTTCTCTAACTACTCACCAGCTACTCTTCACTTCACTCAACTCAACTGACTAACTGCTAATTCCAACTTGTCCCACTTATAACATCTGGGACATACCACACAGAAAATATCATTCCTCATTGTTGTAGTTCAGTTGTTGCCATGGGAACATGTTTGTTTCCAAAGCCATTTTTAATGGCTGTTGTATATTTGCTTATCTGGTGGTCTTTGCCCAGCAACAGGTCTACATGTCACATTGCTCCCTCCTTAAGGCTGTTCATCCTGAATAGCCTACCGGCATACTGCCATTTCTTCTTTTCCTAGGGCAGTGCTTAGGACATATGTGATTGGCCTAGCCTTCCTTTCCTGTTGCTCATTTCTCATAGTGATTACACTCTAACTACCTTGCTGGTTCCTCCTTAAGGCCACTTGTTGCAAGTGGAGCCCTGATAAGATGGAAACCAGTCCAGGTGTAGCACCATCATCCTGAATGGAGGGTTCTGCTGGATCCTGTATACCAGATCATTTATCTGGGTGAGTACCTTTTATGGGCCCTTCCAGGAGCATGGGCGATTTCCCCTCCATGCGAGCCACGTTTTATCACCCTTGTGGTAGCCCACACAGTTGGCCAGTCTCTTGTAACAAGTTTTTATCTGGTCGTTGCCCAGCTTCAGGTGTTGGCAGGCATAATTGTGGATGTCATGTGGATGGTCCAAAATTTGTGTGATCGATTGTGGGTTATTCCTTGTTGGGGTGTGGCCCAAACAGCAGGGCGAAGGGCAGTCAGAGTTCTTTCCGAACACTAGACTATCTAGGCTCAGTACCATAGTGTCGTGAGTGGATGCCCTATAAGCAAGGAGGAAGTTGGGTAATCTTGCATCCCAGTTCCTCTGGTGCAATGTGACGACTTTTCATAGGTGTTCCTCAACCGTTTTGATGTAGCATTTGACCATGCTGTCTGATTGTGGGTGCAGGGGTGTGGTGCATGTCTTGCTCACTCCTAGGCATTGCAAAACCTATATCAGACTAGACTTGAAGTTAGAGCCCTGGTCACTATGTAGCTCCCATGGTACTTTGAAGCAGTAGAAGTTCATAACTAGTGCTTCCTCCACCATGAAGCCTCTTGAGAATAGTGTAGGATTCTGGCCACTTGATAAAATAGTCCATAGTGATCAGGACATATTGGTTTCCTTGGTCAGTCAGTGGAAAGTGCCCTGCTACATTGTTTGCTATCCTTTCTTACGGGGCCTTAATACTTACTGATGCATTTGGTCCCAATTCCTGGTTCAGTGGCTGTGACTGGCTGGATATCCATTGGGCCCAGTAGCTTTTGTGTGTGGGATTGCGGTCAGTGATGTCTTTCCATTCTGTGGGCTTACCAGTTTCAGTTTCCTCCAGAATGGGCCCTATGTCCTGGTCATTCAGTGGTTCCATTATCATAGCTGCTTGATCCTAACCAGCTGCAGCTACAGCTGTAATAGCTGATACCTGCTTGATGTCTGCAACAACAATAGCAACAAAGCAGAAGTACCTTGGAAAACTAGACAACAAATAAAATTGGACTGTGTTCAGTTGATGATGTTTTCTGATCATTTTGACCATGAAGTATGCCTGTAAGATCCAGAATGAGAATAAGAAGACAGCAAATATTTTTGACCCAGTCAAAAACAAACTGTCAAAATGTCAGTCAATTGATCATTTTATGGTTGGTCATATTGGCAGGTTGCTGACTGTAGTTCTTTTATGATTACTAAAAAGAACCCATCAGTGTTATTTGGTTTATTTACTGTGTTATCCTGATGGTTGGGTGATTTAAAAAATAAGGCCACCAACATTTTCATAAACGAAAGGAAATAAAAGGGAGTATCTTATTTTAATAGATGCGATTATGTCAGCTGTGAATTTTAATTAGTTGATTAGTGATTAATAATGAGTAATCTAAAAACACTACCTCCTAACTAAGGCAAAGTTTCAATTTTATTTCAGTTTTTTAATGTATGTATATGTTCAGATTATTAAACAGTAATCTTGCACCTATGATATTAATTAAATTTATCTGTTAATTCTTGACTGCTCGGAATGTACTGAATAATTCATATTCCTACAGAGTTATCTTTAGCTACACATTACTGCTCTCACAAGTTCTAGTATGTGTGAAAGTGTAAGGAAAATTAAAGCTGCCATATGATCAGAAAAGCATAGGAGCTGCTACATATTTCATCTAAAAAATCTAAATATTTAAAGGAATTTTATGCTATAAAAACCATAATATTTTGTCACTTTGTGGAATGCTAGCTGCACTATTATAATATAGGAAACTCAGTAGTGTATTTACTTTTTTAGAATATACTTGTGATGCCATACATTTTTGTCCTTTGTCTTTTTCCATTCTACTTAATGTTTAAAATATATGAACTATAGAGCAGTGACCAAATAATTGGTCCAGAGTTTGAACCCATGTTTCTTTTCCTAGGTTTTCTGGGAACTGACTAGTAATACTTAATAACTAAGACTGTGGAGCAGATATCTTAAAAACATAGTAAGTGTTCAACTTGTGAAGAATTTGCCTGACTTTTGTTTAATTTATAGTATTTATTTTTCATTGTTTCTTTAGTTAATGATACTTTCATTTACTGAGATTATGGTATGGTATGTGTTTGTCTTTCTCACTGGTGTTTTAATACTGGAAGTGTGTTGAGACTGGAATCTAGTAACTTTCTAATGATGACATAACAGTCCATGTCACTAAGTGGCAGTGATGTGCCCTTGTTCCTAGAGTAGGTGGAATGCAACTGTTTTTATTCTTGTTGGCACTTACTCTGAACACTTTTGCAGGTTTCATCTGCTGTGGAGCATCTTATGCTTCGACATATAGCTGAATGTGAGGAAGATATCTGGAGAGCCTTGTGGATTGTACCTATCTTAGAAATGCTCTCTCATGCATCCACTTCACTATGTGGCCCACTACAGGCTTTGCTGTCCACGTCAGTGAGTCACTATCCGAGACTTCTCACCCACATCTTACAACCAATCATATCTGATACATGTCCCAAGGCCACACATCTTCGCACTGTGCTTAGTTGCATTCGCTTGGCCAGAAAACAAGGTGCCCTGGATGATCAGTCAGAATTTCAGCATTGTTCTACTTTATGGAAAGGTGTTTTGGATGTCAGAATCCTGGAGCAAACACTTTATCATCGTGATGTTGAAGTGAGTAGTTGTGCCTTAAATGGGATCTCTACGACAAGAAGTACTTCTGTAGTACTGCAAGGAATTTTAGCAAGTACTGTATTTGCATGACCATAAGACTGCTTGTAGAATATGCTGGAGAATGGGGAATAAATCACATGGATCATCCTTTTTGCTGTCATCTTGTTGCATGGAAGCCTGATTCTATATATTTTTTACACCTATGAAAAACTGGCCTTCATTACATACTGCAAGTCTTACAGTACAGTTAACTCCCACTTTTGCATGAAAAATTTGATGTAAGTACCAAACACTAACTTCTTTGAAGATGTGCAAGCTATATATTGGTATGTAGAATTTGAGCTTCTCACAAGCGGTTATGAAGAGGCCTGTCTTCAGGGATGTAAGGCTGTATGGTCCACTGAAAGTAATTGGCCTGAAAGTGGGTGGCAAGCTGGTTTCTTGCTTGGCTTATTCTTTAACCCTGGAAATGGAGGTAACATGTTCTTCCAAAACTTGCCTGACCTTCAGCAGATGACATGGCGTTATATCCCAGAAGATAGAACTCTGTATATTTTGGTATTTTTATTCTTATATCGTTATTGTATTCTTCCATGATCTTCTGAAAGCTCTCCCCCCCTTCAGGTTTGTGCTTTAGGGTTGATATCTCTATTCATGATGTGTTTTTATAGTATCAATTTATAGATGACACTAGATTAATATTATCTTTTAAAAATAATAATTCTGATTTTGAAGGAAATAATGTATTGAGGTTTCTGTCATTTAAATTCTGTAGCTATCACAGTAACACTGCATATACATTTAATACTGTAATTATGCACTCAGCATACATTTTTTCTGAAGACTTAACTGATGAGAAATATGGTAAACAAGAATGCCATTAATCCTCATATACTTACTATTGTGAGTTTCTAATAATGAGTACTGGAATAGAAAGGGGGCTTTCATTCCTTTTCTGTCTCTTTCATTTTTTAATTTGAATCTTCTTCATTAGTCTTTTTAAGGACCTTATTTTTAAGCAGGACACCATATTTGAAGCATTCAGCATATTCCTATGATAATTTCCAAAAAATCTCCACTTTAGTATATTTTGTCCATTTTNCAGAGTTTACCTTTCCCTGTCAGACAGCTTGACACTCACAGCAGAACTTTCTGGTCCATAGTCACTGAATCTAACAGCTGCACTAATCTTGCCATTAGAAGAAATAAATCGAATTGGTTGGTCAAGGAGATGGACCTCAAAGGGGGTTGTTCCTGTGTTGAGCTCAGACTGACACTTGGAAGACACTACAGTCAGATGTCAGACTTAGCCTGACAGATTTGAAAATGAAAACAATTTGGATCTGGTGTGATGTACTTCTGTAGAATATTGACGTTTAAATTTTGAAGTTTGTTACCATGTTTGCAGACTCATATGCTGGCCTTGTCTTTTCTGTGTGACAGCCAGTGTTGTAATATTGCTAGTATAAAGTTCTGTCAAATTTGCAGATCAGAATGTCAGCCTTTTCTCTACTTGCTGAGAGCCATCGAAGCACTGAGACCTTCTCTGTTTCTGAGCTCCAGTTGGTCAGGAAATTTTTAGAATACAATATTAACTGTGAGATACCATCTTCCAGACAGCAGACATTGAGTCTTCTGAAAAAGGTACATTTATCAGCAATTCACAATATATGTTGAGTCATTTACACTGAGAGCCTTGAGTCTCAGTACAATCTTACACCTTATAGTTTAGCTGTAAAGGGCATAGATCTCTGAAGGAAATATATGGTGAGAGTGTCATCTCCTAATATTAGAGGGAAGCGTACTGTAAGTTGTTTCTTTTATAGTCTCTAAAGAAAAAGTGGGTTTTAGTATTGATATCTCAGTACTCTATTGAAATTTCGGTGTTGAGTTTTGAAGACAAATATGTAGGTAGTTCTTCTGTGTGGTGTCAGTTTTATTCTTTTGAAGATCTGATATTGTAATATTTCAGTTTATAGCTGTATACCAGTTTCATATTCAGGTCTAAGCTTCTTCCATTTTGTTGCAATAATAAGGGGTTTTGCTTTCATTTCAGAATTAAATGTAACACAGATGTTGGCTATAATAGAAAAGAAGGTTTTTTTTTTTAACAGTAGGTACAGAAATTACAGTTAGATATAAGGAAAAGATACTAGGTACTAAACCATTAGATAATGTTTCATTGTGCATGTACAAGGCAGTGAGTGGTTTGATTTTGTGTTGACCCCTCCTCTCAGGTAAAGCTGTCACTGTGCCTGTTATGTTGAGTCACCCACTTCCCAGTGTGTGACATGCCTGTAAAATTAGCTGTTCAGCTATTGCAGTGCTGAGTTCGGTTCATTCAGTTCACTGCAGAGCAGGTGAGGGAGTAGTGAGAGATTGATTCAGTCAATCTGTTGGTCAGTTAATCAGTGAGTGAATGAGTGAGTAGTGAGTCAGTTGTCAGTTCAGTTCATTGCAGAGAAGAGCAGAGGAAAGAGTAGTGAGACAGTGAGTGAGTCAGTCAGTTGGTGAATGAGTCAGTATTCAGTCAGCTGTCAAGTCACTGCAGTGCAGTGCAGAGCAGAGAAGTGAGGGAGCAGTGGTGTTCCTGTGAAGTAATGAATGACCAGAGCACTGATCTCAAGAACAGTAGTGACTGCGGGTGGTGGGACGGTAACTGCTCCATATATCGATAAATGTTACAATATGTAATACTTTTTTATATGGCTCATTTTTCATGCCAAGAATGTCATACTGCAATGGTATAGTTTGTACTCATACATGACAGTACAAGACTGTGATTAGAACTTAATACAGATTTGAAACTTACATTACTTAAATTACATTATAATTAAACTGAACAACAATGATGGAGCCTTCTTGAGGAGCTATGTGTAGATGATACTGAATCTGGTTGTGAAAATTTCTTTCTGACCCAACTGAAATAATATTTATTTAGACAGTAAAGTGACTGGTTGGTCCTTTCTGTGGAGATACAATTTCTAGAACATAAAGCTGAACCTCACTGCCATCTAGTGCTGAGGTTAAAAATGCATAGAACTTTATGTAATTCTCCCCTGTGTTCTCATGGCATGATGCTTAAGTGCAGATATGTTACTTTTGCGCTGTGTTAATAATATGCTTTTATTCCATGGCAGATTCTTACCAGACTGAGAGATAGTGCACAAGTTCTGTGTTCAAGGAAAGGAGAGAACAAGACTAGTAAGAAGAAAATAGAGCCTGACAGCAACAGAAGCCACTTGCTGAGGACTTACAATCCATTTGTCTTGTGGCTGCTGGAATTCTCTTTTGATAATTTATTTCCAGGTGCAAATTTTAGGCGTCGTGGCTCATCACTCCAGGTGCTTTTTATGATTTACATTTCATTCTAGAACATAGTAATTATGGGACAACTTGATAAAGTAAATATGCAAATTATACAGTAAAGAACAGGAATGTTTATCACCTTGCAGTTGATAGAGTATGCAGTGTACATCGCTTTTCTCCCTACCTCATCCACCATAAGACACACATTTTTGACTGGAAAATGCAATCCAAAATTCCCTAGAATCTATGGTCCAAATGAATATCAGGATGATATATGAAACAAAAAACTCCAACTAGTGTAAAGTGATCTTTCTCAGTTCTTGCATGTTACACGGATAGTTTGTTGTTGTCAATAGATCTGTACGGTGTGACACAAAGAACTGTTTGATTCTTTGCAGAGCAGTGCTTTTCATCAAGTGATTCTGTAATGGTTTGTAAGAATGGTTGATTTATTATACTAAAATTAAATTTTATGTTGTTTGTTGTCTGAGGTGTATGTGATATATGCAGTGTTTCAACATTGACTCTGCACCTATCTTCATGTGATCAGTTGTTATTATTCTGACAACTGACAGATTCTTTTATTTAAAGATCATGATGATTGGGATTGAACTTGGTTACAAAAACATATAATTTGGGACTGTTGCACCACAAATAATTAAAAAGAAACTTGGTTCTTTTGATTACTAGGCCCTCAAACAATAATTTAGTGACATGTTCCAGCTGTCAACTGCATGTGAGGATGGTGGATTACAGGTCATCTTTCATTACATTCGTTACATTAAGACATTAAGTTATATAACAACTTCTGCTACCATGTAAAAATTGTAGGACACTACAGATCGTAGGCATCTTTTTCAGTAATGGTGTATTCTTATTCGGTATAAAGCAAGGTTCACTGAACAGGTTTGGATAGGGGTATTGCTCTAGAATTGTATTTTGGAGGTTCTTGGTTCAAATCTTGACAGGACACCAGATATGCAGACAGGTTTCTGTTGTTGTCCCCATTCCTTCCAGACAATGCTTCTGTTAATCCACAACCACTTCCTTCCACATAGTTTCCAATTCATCATCATTCATCTGTCATCCTACCATTTAACATTATAATACTGAAAGTGTCATTAAATAACCTATGAAAGGAATAAGGTTCAGGTGCACTTCTTGCTAAAAATTTTAATTTCTACAAGTTCTAGGCCACATAACATAAATGCCTATATTTGAATGTGTCTGTGCTTTTCATCATCATTCATCATCATTTATTTCAAATTCAGTAAATCCAAAACATAGGTTGAAATACAACCCTGGATATAGAACATGTCAATAATAATATTNATCACATTTAATATTCAACTTCAGTGATTCCAAATGAATAATATTAAAATAAAGTACCGTATTTACGCATGTATAGGCCGCACATTTTTTGCCAAAAATTCAAGAGGAAAACTGGGGTGCGGCTTATATTCAAAATCACACTTGATTTAAAAAAAATTATATTCATAATTAGTAATACAGGGTGTTCTACTCCTGAAATAATATTCCAAGAAAACAATTTTTTCCATAATTTCTGTCTGAAAATTGTGCTGCGGCCTATACATGCACGTGGGCTATGCATGCGTAAATACGGTACTTCCATTTGAGATGTTACTTATTTAAGTGTTCAGATCCACTGCTCTCCAAAGGAACATTCATGAGTGGTGTCAGTGTATAATATATTAATCCACTTCTTAGCAGGTTCGAAATTCTCTGTAGCAGATTGTCAGTTTTCTTGGGAATTAACTACTCATGAACAGAGAGTAATTGTTATTGAGATAATTAAAATCAACTGAAGATTTTTGTTATCCCTTTGAAGCCTAAATTTAATCAAAATAATATTTTAAAATTCACATCTGGGTCACAGAGAACACCATGTCTCTCACACAAGAAATTGCTGTTTGTTCACTGTGCACTTATATTCTGTGGCTAAATTGCAAAATGAATAAGAAACAAGGAAACCAGAATCATATGTGGGTGACCATTACACATTACAACATTCAGTGTTAGATAATCTCAAGACGCAGTTCATGCTGTATGTTTAATATAAGCATAATTTATTTTTGTTTATTTAAGTATTATTTTTGTACAGTGAAACTGTAGTTTGACTATATCTTTCTTTTTCAGATACTTACCCTTTGCCACGAAATTCTGAGTTTTGATGCGGCAGAACTGGTGTGGACTCCCTGCCCACCTGTTGTGTATACACAGAGCTATGCTAATATTCTCTTAGAGTGCCTTAAAGACACATATGAAAACAACAAGATGCTAGCCCTTCGGCTTCTCATCACATTTCCAGCAGAAGCTCTTGGATTAGATGTTAGTTTCTTTCAATTTATATGTCTCCCAGTTATTTGTCATCATTTGAATACCATGTAAAACAGTGTGAGGTTTCTTATATCTCACCTTCATGTGTTGCATCATATTTTTGTGCATGAGGCTGTGATTGTTTTTCTGTTGTCTCTAGAGTAGGAGAAATTCCGCTGTCAAAATTCAGGCTATTATTGGAAGTGTAGACTTTCTTTCTAAATGTTAAGATGGTCAGAGCAAGGAGGGTGAGATGCACAGGGCATGTAGCATACATGGAAGAGATCAAAATGCATTCACAATCATTGATGGAAAACCAGAAGGGTAAAACCACTTGACTTAGATGGCTGGACAGTATTGAAATGAACCTGACATATAATATAGGGGTGTGGGCTGGTTTTAACTGGCTTGTGTTATGTTCAGTGGTGTTTTGTTCCAAACATGATAATGAACCCTTAGGCTTCATAAGAGGTAGGGAATTACGTGACCAGTTCAGCTAATTTCTGCTTCTCAAGATAGTCTGTAGTGCATGGAGGTTTTTTTTTTGGNGCTTGCCAAGATATAAGTTTAAACAGTAAAGTAAAAGGTAAAGTTGGCCCTGTGCTTAACTAAGTAAGCACTATGCCATGAAGGCGTATGGGGAAGTGGGTGTATAGATCATCTTGACTTTGGAACTAGTTGGAGGTGAGTGGTCAGCTTCACGCTTCGGCCACTATACCCTTTGGGGAAATAGTCCCCAGTACCCATTGGATAGGAGACTGGGTGAGCCCCAGAACTGGTCTGGACAACATGGAGAAGAGAAAATTCTTGCCTTTACCAGAACAGCGTACTCTGACCCCTTGGTCGTCCAGCCCATGGTTAGTTGCTGTTCTGACTACGCTGTACCAGCTGTCAAGTTTAAACAGTATAAGGCATAATGATGATGAAATTGGTTTCATAACAACTTAGTATGAAGTGGAGTGTTTTATACACGCACCTGTACTCACACAAGACACTGAAGCCTGATCTCATAAAGGGACTGACTGTGATAATGCTCTCTTGTCAGTGGTTGAAAAATGGAGGTAGTCAACATGGGGGAACTTAATACAATAACAAGAATCTCTGAGCAGAACATATACCTCCTGTCCATAAAATGCTGCATCCTGCTTATATATGGTGAGGTTAACAGAAAGCTACAGATTAATTATACTATTTCTATGTAAAGTTTTCACTAACCCAACATTAATTTGTTAGGTGTAATCTCAAAGTTTTGCATTATCACTATATTTGTGATTACCAGTATCAAGAAGTTGTATAAAAAATATTTTGCACAGAATTTGTATGAGTGCTGCTGCTATCTCCAAACCAAATTTCTTTGTCTGATGTTGCATTAGCTGTTGTTGTTAAACTGGAAAATTAATATAAATTTTGTGTGACTTTGTGTCATATTATTTAATTGAGCTTTGGCACCTTTATAGTTGAAAGAGAATATTAGAAGATTTTCTGTTTCAGAATTATGTTTCTCAAAGGCCAAAGGCTTACATTAGAAGAATACAAGGAGTCACATTACATTAAAATTTCTATCTTACAATATATTTTTTACAGGATCCTGATCAAGTCAGTTCATTGATTGGAGTTTCTTTGCAACTGGCATCCAGTCACAGCCCACCAGACTGCATTACAGCTGCATATTTGTTGCGTGTTTTGGTTAAATTCCACCAGACTGGTGTAGTTCTGGCAGCCATGCAAGGTGTGAAATCCATTGGCCAGAAGGCTTTCTTTTATGAAGCATTTTACATTAATGATGGGGACCTGGGTGAAAAGGTAAAACCCAGTAAGCATAATTACTTTAAATTGAACAGAAGTAGGGGGTGGAGCACTTACCAGTTTAAGATTTGAAGCTCTACAGCTGCTTGAAGTGTTTTCATTCTTTCTCATATCTCGCTATGTTTACATCATGTGTGTTTGCAGAGTGTGATGAGACATCATGTACGGATAATTCTACAGTCTATCTGGCTATTCATCTTCTGGTCTATCGGCTCTCTGCAGAACTTGCTGAAGCCAATCACAGCATTTTAATTGCAGCTGCTTCAGGACCCATGTATGGAATTTTGTTCTGTATCAGGCAGCTGCTTTCTGATGTCAATTTCACGTGAGTTTGTTTAATCTGGATTCCAGCAGCAGTACTTGAAATATAGGCATTATTAAGATATTGATAATTAAGATTCATTTTAGTTACTTACTCTTTGTAGGGAGATATCCACAGATATGTTGTAAAAATGGAGTAGTTTATTTTTACAGTTTGGAATCTAGTAGTGAGGTGTTCTTTCACAGGAAACAGCAATTTTACAACACCATATATTCAAACTTTAAAAACAAAGCTGTGTTTTCTTTATTGTCACTTTATATTCTGTTTGATTCTTGAAACACAGTTGACTGAAAGTGCAGTCAGTAAAGCATAAATTCAGGCACCATCATATGGTGTTATTTCAGAATAATCAAAGTGAAAAATTATTTATGACTTAATTATATTTGTGTAACTGTAAAGCTTAAATTCAGTTAATTTCATGTACACATGCTTTAACTTGCAGATTCAACTGAATTTATTTGATCTCTTTAATGCCAGTAACAGGTAAAGTTACATTTATCCCTGTACATAACTATATAATTAAGCACTGTGAAATGAAGGCGTATGGGAAAGTGAAAGTATAGGTTCACCATTCTTAGCCTTGGCAGTAGATGGAGATGAGTAGTAATAGCAGTAGTGGGTCTGGAGCAGGGTCCACTCAGCCCTGTGAGGAAACTTTTGGAGCTCTTTCAAAGAAATAGCAGCCCTGGTCTAGAAAACCGAGATTAATGGCCATGGGGATCTGTTGTGCTGACCACATGACACCCTCTATCCGCAAAAGTTGGCACTAACTTTGCTGACAAGCGGCAGTCGCTCTGTCAATCAGTCTTTCGGTATAAAGGCAAACCAATTTGTCTTAAATTTTAGGGTGATAATTCATGAAGTTTTATGGCTTGGGAGTTCAGAGATTTTGTAAAACCTTCAATTATAAATATTTCTTATATATAATTTTCCAACATTTCCATTTGTTAATGTAACAACATGGATGCATTTGAGAGCGTCTGAAATCAGTGTTTCCTATTCTTGTTGTAGTTATCATAAGGTATTAAGGGTTAAACTTAATGAGGAACATTGCATGAGGATAGTTTGTAAATATATGTCTGCATATATTTCATTTTAAATATGAGATTTGAGGTTCTCATGGTAGTGAGCATTAAGATTGCAGTGTTCATGGGTGTGATGCCATGAAGTATGGTAGATTATGGAGGAACCCATACCTTCCAACTTCAGGACACACTGAATATGGAGGCAGCAGGCTCCTCCGAAATATTGGTGTCTTATCTGTCAGACATTACATCCCAGAAGGCTGTAATCTTTACTTTAAATATTTAACAAGTACATTAAGAGATGAAAAGAAAATAATTCCTTGATGCTGTATACTACCTCCTCGCACACATAAGCCTGGAAGATTAGATGGCAAGAATGCAGTCCGTTGCCTATCACACTGAAATACACATCAAACATAGAAATCACTTGCCATGATCCTTCATGCTATAACACATACTCAACACACCACTGTGCACATTTTACAAAATGTCATTGAACAGGGTTGCTAGCATAACACCAATGGCAACGTGTATTTCACTTAGCATACCACCTTGTTACAAGCAAGAATTCTTCATGTGAACAAGATATGTACATAAGAGGGGAAACTTTTGAATCCATTGTGGGTGAATCAAAATCTTAACATTCTTGAAAACACTAAAACACCACACTACACATCACTGTGTATATTACACACAAAAATATAAAGTCACACTGGAGAACTTGCACTTCACTCTACACTCGACATTATTGTGACCAAAACAACATACGTAATACCCACCACTCTTTATGTCAAACAGAACTAAGATATTAATTCAACAATAACTTCTTCAATGGGATCTAGAACTTCACTTTGCACCCTTTTCTTACAAGTACTTACACTAATGCAAAAAACAAACAAAACATGTATATCATTCTGACTAATAACCTACCAACACGTGTACTATTCAGAGGCTACATACCAAAAGTACACAATGTTTTCTGTCATACCAAATATGCACTCATGAAATCTAATTCACTTTCTATCCATATAACCACTACAACACATCATCTGCGAATCACTTTAAATATTTCACACGAGCTTATGAATAACAGTGCAAGAATAACCTCAAAAACAAATTGTCTTTCACTACACTCCCAACATACTTATACGCACTTTCATTAAATCAATAAATGTACGTAATGGTGTATTCTTCCTTCACGCATACTTCAGTCTGATGGTTCAGAGGGAAAACACTTCGATTTCGTTGTGGAACAGAGGAAACACATGTTTGTAAATTTTGGTGCTCTTTCCAATACTCGCTCCAGGATTATACACACATTAATAAGGTTTATTTGAATTCTGAAACTGATGGCTCGAAATTAGCTTCTAAACTGTTAACATTTCTGCATAGGGGATTTCAATCCTAAACCTTAGCCCAAGGCAGGAGGAGTTACTATTGGGATTTAAATTTGGACATGCCAATTAACATAGGCTCCAAAACTACTAATAACTCTGTTGTGTCTTGATCAGAATCAAAATTACTGCTTTCAGAAAAAGAAAAACATTCTTGCAGAATATCTTCAATGTTTGTATTTAATAAATTTGTAGTACATTAATGCCCTGTCTACTGTCATTTGATTTACAATTTATATTTCCAAAATCATTTAAAGAATAATCACTAAATCTGCTAGATACACAAAACAATAGTCATGACATTCATCTCAAACAATATGCAAATAGAAACATGTGGTTAAACTACTATTTGTGAGCTGGAAGCACAAAGCATGATCAGTCATCCACATTCAGTCCCTAGCACTGTGCATTGGCAGGTGTTAACTGTAGTGAGCGGTGCCTGGCATTCCATGCTGATAAATAGAAATAAAATCTTTGTTGGGCTGAAACCTGCCTCTTGTTCTATCATGTTGAAATTTCCTGCGTGATGTAAGAAGTATTTTTTTTTTTTCCTTTTAAACACAGTACTCATGCAAACACTGGAAATTAGATTATACCAATAACTCTTGGATGCAGAAAAAACATTGATGCTTTTCTTCTGCATTTTTTATATGACTGTAAGAAGTATTTTCTCATTTAGACACAGCTGTACACAAAAGCACAAGGGATGCAGAAAAAACACACTCAGTTCATTTTTGTCTTTTTTTATTCTTTTCATATGTAGGCACAACAGTGCATAAAGACACAAGGAATGGGAGACATAGAATAAAGCAAGAACCCTTTGATGTAGGAGAATTTTGTTACTTCAGATCCCTGTGTACTGTGTTGAAACAGGTTTCTACTATATAGCCAGACTTAACATAGAAGCTAATATTTATTTTCATTTACCTGCAAATGAAGGAGCATTGCTGGTGAGAATTCCTGGTGCAGTCTGATTGGTGAGGTGGTCGACATGTGTTTTCGCCTCTGTGAAGTTGTGGGACCTATTGTCAATAGCTCTTCCCCTGAGGGACATTTACCCATGGACTTCCAGCCAGGTACTGTTAGTTCCTCAGAACTCTAGCCATGGTAGAGGGGTCATACCATCTCTCGCGGAGCTGGGGGAGCAGTCTTATCGGCTTACGTCAGTGTGGGTACTACCAGTATGGAATGTAGCGTCTTTGAGTGTGGTCAGATGTATAGTACATTGTGTTACTTGTTAGTTGGTCTCCGTAGGCAATGTTTTCCGCTTGGGAAGTAGCTCTGATTGTCACCTCAGCAAGCATACAGCTTCACGTGCTCCACAACAGCATTTACCTTTCTGCGCGGCTGAAGTTACGAGGCACTAACTATATGTATTAGTCATGTTTGAGATTCTGCAGGTTTAGGTCAATTTGTAGGAAAAAATTGTGAAATGTTTTTTATAAAGTTAAAATGCCTTTTACAGTTGTTACTGAAACGTGATTAGAAGTGTTTCATTTTTCAGATATTTCATACTACACTCTTAACGTAGGTGCATTGTCTCTATTCATTATATTATGACATGGAGAATGGCAGAGGCAGCCATTGCTAGGCAGTGGCGCAACAAACAATGGTGCAACAATGGAACATGAAACATCATATCAGCATATCAACAGTTATGCATGCAACAAAAGAGGAATTGTGGGAAGCAGTGTTCTCTGAGAGTCCATGCAGAGGCCGTATCTGTAGAATCAAATAACATCTAAGTCCATTGAGAATCATGAGTCTGCAGTTAGCAGTTGGGAGACAGACCCATCAGATGTGTTGCAGATGGTCACCCCTGGTGGAGAAGCCCCCACTGTTGTAAGCTGTTGCAAAGCAGCACCAAGTCAAGTTGTGCGATAGATGCCAGACAGTGAAGACAGAAGCGGCTGAATGCAGAAGCTGAGGAATCTGTGGCTTTGGAAGCCATTACCAGACAACCAGCGAAGATGCAGCAGACTGAGAAGACTGTGCAGAGTGTGTGAATTAGCGGTAGCGCTAGAGTCAATTGTATTTACGATCTTTAATAAGTATCCAATAAATCCAATTCCTGTCTGTAGTCATTCAGTCATGTGAAAATATTTACTTGTACTATGTGTATCTTCTAGTTATACTCACCTGCTGCTGGAGAAAAATAACACACACATGTACATTCCTCGTTCCTTCTCTCTGTCCCTACCCTCCCCTCCTTCAACTTTCCTGAAAGTCCAGCTGGATTAAAATCTTTCAGCATATCATAGTGTCATAAATAATTTTCCTTTAATTTGAAGGATTCATAATTTTGGAAAAGGGTTTCAAATAAAAGTAGCAATGTTTAATCAAGGATGTGTGGCCATGTATCCATTTTTGATACAGTGATCTGTTTTGTAAGAAGTTTAGTAAAGTATGCCTTTAACTTCTTTAATTAGGGTTTATGTTGGATAAGTAGGGTCAAAATTAAGTTTTTCCATAAAATTTCGACCAGATTTGTATTACAGAATTTTGTAGAAATCCATTGAGCATATCTGGAGATGAGACAGAAACACAGAAGAATGGATGGGTGCACAGAAACGATCATCACATTATGGTACATTTACTACAGGGGACACACAATTATTAATAGTATGAACTGTTCTGTTGTCTAAAAACGTAAAGATTAAAATATACAGAACCATAATTTTACCAGTAGTTTTATATGGTTGGAAAATTAGTCACTGACATTGAGGGAAGACTATAGACTGAGGGTGTCTGATAACAGGGTGCTGAGGAGAATATTTTGACCCGAGATGAAGTAATAAGCTTGAGAAAGCTGGATAGCGAGTAGCTTCATAATTTGTACTACTTTCCAGATTTTATTACAATTACAAATCAAGGAGGATGTTGCAGACATGGGAGAGAAGATGCAGTGAAGTTCAGGGGTGGAAATTTGATGGAAAGAGACCACCTGGGAAACCTAGATTAGATGAAATGATAGGATGTGAAGGTGTGGAATGCATTCATCCGGCTAAGGATATGGGCCAATGATGGGCTCTTGTGAGCATGATAATGAAACTTCAGTTTTCATAGAATGTTGGGGATTTCAACTGGTGGCCTCTGAAGAAGGACTCCGCTCCGTGGAGCTAGTTAGTTAGTTGAACTGTTCACTGTTTTTGTCTTATTTGTGTTGCGAAGTGGGGCTTACCGTTTTCTTATTTGTTGTCAGGAATGCAGCACTTAAAACAGGACTCTGCCTCTGACATATCTGAATTACCAGTCCTAAATGTCACTGCTCAGATGGTGTTGCTATGTGCTTGGCGCACTGTAAAAGAGGTGTCTTTGTTTCTTGGAGAGCTTTCAGAGCAGGCTCCTATCTCAAGTGCAGAGGATTCAGATGAATGGTAGGTATGACCAGTCTATAATAAAATGAAGGCTAATTATATAATTATTTGTTTATTGTAGTCATTAATGATATTAGAATGAGTTTAAATGTTGAATGGGTATTATCTTAATTTAAGCTTCTCTTTCGTTTTTTGAGTGGAAAGAACAAGGGAAGCTCAGAATTCAGAGTTTTAATCTCTAGAATATTCACTCATTTTGTGGAGATGAGAGAGATGAAGTATTTTCAGTGTTAAAAGTCCTTAAGCAACACATGTGAAGGAATTGGGAGATATTAACTCAAAGATTGATTCACATTGCCTATATCACCAATTAGTTGTACACACAATGGAAAATATGTGTTAGCCTGAGCTGGGTTATAGGAGGAGGAAAGATGAAAGTTGGAAGGAGCAGGATTGGAAAAGATTTTGTAAGCATGTACAGTATAACTGAAAGTACTGACTATCCGTCACTCTCAGCTGTTGCTTGGTAGAAACAGATAAGTTTAAACTGGTTAGTAAATTTTGTAGAAAGCAAAGTAAGAGTGGTGGATCATGCATATTTGTAAACAACGACGTGAACGTAAAGGAAGTCACGTTTTTAAATGAACTGAGTAGTGAAAAAAACTTTGAGATATCAGGTGTGGAAATTGTAAAATTTAAATGGGTATTCATATGTATTTACAGATCACCTCAAGATGATGTGAAAATATTTTTTAAGAAAGTTGAATCTCTCATTGAGAGAATACACAAAAACAAGAAAAAATTAATAATCTGTGGAGACTGGAATATAAACCTGCTCCAGGAAAATGAGCAAGTCCAGTCATTGAAAAATTTGTTAGTATCTTATGATATAATAAATATAGTCTCCAGTCCAACAAGAGTTACTAGTAGCTCGGAATCACTGTTAGATATGTTGGTGTTAAATAGACAGTTTAACAAGAATTACATAGAGATTATAAATATGGGATATTCGGATCATTTGGTCCAGATTTTATGGGTATTAATAGACAAAGGTAAGAGTGAAAAAAAAGGTTTAAAAAGAAAGTGTACCAAGGACAATTTTGCTAAATTTATAACTTTGTTGACTAGTGAATCGATTACTAAATCTTCATAACATATATGCATACTGATTACTATGTAAAATATCATTGGATTCAACCATTCATGACTCACTACTCACTGATGCTACTTTTACTGTTTTGTACTTTGTCCCTTGCTTTATATAGCCATGGGAAGAGCCTTCTGACAGAAGAGCAGGTGCTTACTATTGGATCTCACTTGGCTATGTTGCTGGTAGAGACAAAGCATCGTGGTGCATTTGAGCAGGCTTATGTGGGGTTCTGCAAGCTCTGTGGAAGACTGTGGAGACATCCATCAGCCAGACTGCATAATCTTCCACGTCTATGGATGAAAGAGCTTATGGACATTATCACCTGGGGAAAAGGCACCAAGCTCTGTGCCACTAGAAGATCTGCAGGCCTTCCATTTATGGTGCAGGTACAGTATTATGAGATTAGCAGAACAGAATAGAATGTACTAGACACTGTCCTGGTCTATATATTTTTCATATCTGCATCCTTTAGTTTTCGTTTAGGGTTTTGAGGCAGAATGGGTTCCTTGTACATAAAATTTTGGACACAGTGGTCTAAAATAAGGTCAGTTTGTGGTCTTTTGTTTATTTCATTGTTAAGGAAGGCAGAAGAATCAGGAGGAGGTGAAATTCAATTGGAACGTAACAGTCATTATTTGTGCTGATAATATTGGTTCACCAGACTGAAGAAGACAGCCGTTGGTAGGTAACAGCTAAATAAACAAGCACTGCTAGAAAATGAGTAAACATGCAACAATAGAGGAATTCTTTTGCACCATCCAGGCACAGGAACAGCATGCTTGCTAACATGGTGTATGCAGACCTCCCAAGTTGACGTAGAGATCTCGGAGGGGGGGGGGACCAAAGAACACGTGCTGGTAAGTTTGGAGAGGGCGAGTTTAGACAGGAATCAAATGGAGCCGTAAATAAGCCAGAGCTGTGGTGGAATAACCATATTAGGAGGGCACAAGGCTCAACAAAATTTGTTAACTAAAATACATATATCTATATTCTGCAATCTGAGATAAGCCCATCAGTATAAAGAAATACAAAATAGAAACAAAATAATAACACAACTGTTCCAAAAGGGGTAATGCAGACATAAATGAAATGAAGGTTGCTGACGTGACGTTAACTTTGCCAAGTACCATACTTACGTAAGTAAAAGAATACAAACTAAACAGTTTTACCTCACAAACGAGTCAGATACTTTACCATGACTCGCGAGGGCTCAATTCCCTAGACGCCATGCTCAACAGCCAAAACAGAATTTCAGACAAATCAGTTAAGCCGAACTTCAATATTGGAGCTAAGGACAAAATCCTGGCCAGACAGTGGCTACTAGGGGAAAGAGGCCGACCCTAAGGCCGGCAGAAGTACAAAGGGAAAGAAGGGGGACACGTGACAACAATGTCACCAAAGAGCTAAATCGGAAAGAAGGAAACATGGCTTCTGCAGAACACTTGGGTAAATGGAGAGGGTCCAAAGAACCGTTAAACACCACGGTTCACTTGGAAGTGCTGTTTTCTGTTAGGTCTGCTCTGAGTCTATATAATGAGGACCATTGGTGTCCTGACAGTATAAAAAATATGGTCTTTGGCCCCAGATGGGTGCTTGTCTCCCAGAGAGACTGACTGACCACTGGTTGTAATGTAACTTTGACTTTGACAAGCGTGTCAGTCCCTAGTCAGTTGCTGGTGAATGCTGTAGTGAGAAGTAGAGTGTGTGAATTAGTGAGAACGTTATGATTACTTGTAGGTACAATTTATAAGTGTTCAGTAAATTCAGTTACACAACAGAGAAAAGAAAATTATGCAACATTTTGGTTGGAATACCTTGGAGACTTAGACTTATAAGTTTGATGTGAAACACCCATTTGGTTTCCTCAAATGAGACTCTGCAGGAATTTATATTAGGCATATTGTTATTTTCACGTCAGCTTTTGATATGTTATGAATTTGAACACAGATATGCCTGAAGACATGCTGTAGCTGTATTACACATCTAACGATCAGTAATGTTATTGTCATTATAACCTACTATGCAGTAAATGATTTGTACTGAGTGAAAACTGTTGTATACATGTGTATGTTTGTTAATGCTGTGCTCCATAAATATTCCATATAACAAACTTCCTGTTATATAAGACACCCTCCCCCCCTCAAAATGTCCCTAACAGTGCAGTATGTCTTATACACCAGTGCAGCTTAGTACTGTTTTTCTTAATTTCTTCTTCTTAAAAATTGAGCATATTATACACTGGAAACATGATAATTTGGTCTAAATGTTTTTCTGGGCAGAACTGATTTATAGTCACAGTCACTTGAATGCAAATAACTTAAAAGGAAATCATGTTGGAGATGATTATATGTAAGACTGTAGTAAAACCAGGGTTGTTCAGGGCAACACTCTGGTGCCCTTTGGTTGCTGGGGCATTGCTCTGGCTCTGATTTTAAAAGTGATGGAATCAAGCATGGATAAATTTGGCAAATTTTATTTCTGATCTCTGTTTTTCATGTGGAAGCATCAGCCCATTTAAACATGTGCATTTTGTGAACTGTCATTCAGTTCTCCATTTGAAAATGTAAAGCTATCATTAAGTAACAACAAGAATGCCACATATCTTGAGTCAGCTCCATTTCTTTTAACTCAACCACCCTGGCGCTTTCATTTTTAGGACTACATCCTGGGTTATATGAGTTAAAGAACCCAAGAGTTCCCAGTTGTGTATGTCAGCCCTGCTGCATACAGCATTGCTTATGAAGTAAAAGCCCCAGGAATGAAAACTAGACATATTTTTATAGGTTATGTGATCACATTTTTGTAAACTACATTTTAGAGATGTTTAATGAGGGCACTGTCAGTGGCCAAGCAGATATATCTGCAGTCACTTTCAGTTTACGTGTGGTTAAGCAAATCAAGGGTAACTGTAGTTACTGCAGTTGTTATCCTCCTAGCTGATTCAGACAAAATGGTAGCCAGTGGTGACACATACACAGGATCCTTAATATACCACTGGCCAAGTGAGAGGCCTGCCCCTGTGAATCTGTTTCCCTGGAAACTTGCAATTTAAGGAGCCTGTTACTTCCTTGTGGAAATGTGGAGGCTGTCCATCTTGTTGGAACAGCATATGATCAGGCCCCTTTTCTTCAGGAATAGGCATGAAGAATTCTTTCATAATGTCAAGGTATACTATTCCAGTCACAGCACATTTGGCAAAAAGAAAAGAGCCCGAACATTTTGGTTGGGCATAGCAGAAAACACATTCAACTTTGGACTGTCTCTTGTATGTTCACTTACTCATGAGGATTATTGCTCCCCCACATTCTCAGGTTGTCTCAATTAACATTTCCCAATAAATGGAATGTGGCTGTGTCAATGAAGACAATTTGGATGTAAAACTTTGTCATCTTCAAGTCTTGAAACAAAGTCACAGCAATGTAACTTTTAAATTTAAAATATTTCCATGGAAGTTTATGCACTGTTGTGTTGTATGTTTAATTTCTGAGCAAAATGCCAGGTTGATTTGCATGGACTGCAAGAAAGTACCTCAAGCTTCATCCACCTATGCTTTAGTGACTGATCGTCTCCCAATGTTTTTTCTTTGCAAATGCAACCAGCCTGGTCAAAGTATATGTATCACTTGTTAAGCGACACTTTTATAGGTGATCCACTTAAAAAAAAAAGAATCTCTTGTACACTGTAACATCAGACCCATTTAGCGCACATTTTGCTTCCTCTGCTTGAGACACCATTTTTCAAATTGTGAGTATAGCACTTGAGATGGAAAGATTTGGAAACTCAGGCAGCATGAATTATAAACTTGTTCATGTAACCTATTCAGATAAATTTAGTTCGCATTCCTGTGCCTTTTGATTCATGAGCAGTGTTACAGTAAAGTGGTGTATACATTTCATATACGATGGGGTACCCAAAAGAAACCGAACTAATTTTTTTGTGGGCAGAGCTTTTGTAGTACCGCGTTTTGCCGCTATGAGCGCATAGAGCTAACATTCCTGAGTCGATAAGCCGACTACCGCTGCTTCAGAAGGTAAGGACTAGTTTCGGCAGAATTTATAGTGACAACTGTTTTGTGTGATCGTCGTTTTTGCAATCGCTGATTTTCGTGAACAGCGTGCGGCGGTGAAATTCTGCTTTTTGCTCGGGAAAAGTGGAACAGAAACTCTTGAAATGTTAAAAACGGCGTACAAGGACGATGCTATGGGGAAAACTCAAGTGTTTGAGTGGTTTTCCCGTTTCAAAAATGGTGAAATGTCAATTGATGATAAACCTCGTTCTGGTTGTCCTTCCACGGTCCGAACACATGAAAATNAACTTTTTTTTTGTTTCCTCGAACGAAAAGAGACATGAAAGGAAAGCGTTTTGCTGATGTTGCTGAGGTGAAGGAAAAAACGACGTAGGTGCTGTCAAGCATCTCAAAAGATGAATTTAGACAATGTTTTGAAAAATGGAATAAAAGACTAGACAAGTGTATTAGTGTAAGTGGAGAGTACTTTGAAGGGGATTGAAGGTTTATGCTTAAAATTTGAATAAATAAGTTTAAAAAAAAATAAGTTTGGTTTCTTTTGCGTACACCCTCGCATTGCACTCTGTATTGTTATAGTAGACACTGCAGCTTGCAGCATTTGTCATGATGATACTGTTCAGTCTATGAATTATTATTTAGATAGTAAAATAATAGTTTCTGTCATAGGCATTTTTAACAACAGAGCTTCAGGTTGGAGGCAACACAAGTTGTTTTCGGCAGTCAATGGCTGCACTCCTAGAACTTGCTGATGTTACTGATAACAGAGCAGGAGCCAGAAGATCTATCAATGCCATCAGTGGGACAGCAACTGAAGACTCTGTTGGTAACAGTACTGCATCAGACCCTTCTAATATTGCCGAAAATTTTAAGATTTTGTACGTGTCAACAGAGAGCTCAGATTGTGTGGACACTGTGGAGGCTCGCATTCATGCATTGAATATCTTACGGTCACTGTTTCGTCACTCTGTGTTGGGCGAGTCTGTCACTCCTTACATTGCACAAGGAGTGATTGTTGCCATTCAAGGGTTCAAGGGCAAGACATGGGCGGTAAGTTCATTTATGTATAGTCACTAATCATTTCAACATATGAATGTTTCAAAATTTTGTTGGTAACAAAATAGAAGGCATAGAAACACAGTTTCATAAACAACCACTTGAAGATTAAAAGCTGCTTTGAAGATAGTCTGAAAACACATTCAGATACATATGAAATGTATAGTAAGTTAGCCATTACAAATGATAATGGTATGAACTTCTGAGCTTATATCTGATATAATTAACATCAGACTATTAATTAAGCAGAAATTCTTTTTGCAAAGATGATGAGGATTACTATCATCATGGTTTAAGTGTATGTGTGGCGTAGTATGTGCTTTAGGAAAATATGTTGATCTTGCCATTTTAATATTGAGTGCCCCACACTACTTTCTCATAGCCTGGAAATTTAGAAATGTGTCCTGTTTCCATTTACAAAATATGATTTTTTCCTTGAGATCTGTGCTTTAGAGCTAAATCATTCAAACTGAAGATCCCAAGTTCTTTGCTAATTACTATTTTCCTAACTTAATCTGTTCCTGTGTAACCCCACACTTTTCAAAAAGCTTATCTCTGTATATTCTATTCTTTTTCTTTCAGTTCTGGACATTGTCCATATTTGTGATCCATATATGAGTGCTGGTACTGTTGTTGCTTTAGCAGATGATGCTCTTAAACCCAGGAGCACATCTCACAGAGGAATAGGACATTTCATAATTAAATCCTAGGCTTCAAGGAGAGGACCTTGAGCTGGTAACCATTGTTTGTTAAAATGAAAATAAGTACAGCAAAGTCCCTGTTGTTGGGCCTGTAAGGAGAATGGGGTGTGCCACTTACATGAATCTGTTGCTTGAGAAAACTGTTACATAAACTAAGCACAAAGTCAAAACAATACATTTTTCCTTCAGTTCTTGCATGGGACTCTTCCTATGTGACACAGCACATCAGTGCCTAAAAGAGTTTGTGTACATAGACTGTAACTCAATCCAAAATTCAGCTAGTCTCTGTTCTAATGACACTTGCATGAAGGAGGACCACAGGTGATAGGGACAGCAGGGAACTATTCTATGGTGTGTGAAGGTGTGTGTACGTCACAAATTTATTTCTCAGTAACTCTATAAATATGGTAAATTTTCTTTGAAATTGTTACTGGTTGGATACGAATTCCGGATGCTTGGATACCACATAGACAGGAGTTAAATTTTACTCAGAATCCTCAGAAGAAGAGAAATAAGAGTCCCACATCAGTTTATGAGAGCTACTAAACACTAGGCCAAATGAAGTGGAATAGCGGACAGTGTGGTTAGAAATGTGATACGCATTGTCCGTGAGCCTAGATGAGCTGCAAATAGAATTAATGTTCATGATAATAATATTAACTTGGTTAAATTTGTTTGCCAGCACCAGAAGCCTATAACAGGCAAGCACTTAAAATACTTAATAATAATAATAACTACAACAATAATAATAAGTATAAGTATAAGTATAAAAAGAAGCTGGAACATAACATTTACATAGTAACTAGTGTGCTCTTGCAGAACGATCTGCACTGAGATTTAAGAAACTGCTTTTGTTGTTCATGATGGTTATTCTCTAGGTTCTTGGGCTCACATGTGTCCATGGACACAAGTCTTTGATTTTTTAGTATAGTTACAGAAGATATCTTAATTTTAGATCTTTGGTGTGTATTGATAAATAAACTGTAGTCTGTGGTCAATGAAATACCACAGAAGAGCATAAGACTTTCATATTTGGATCATAAATTGAAATATTAGCATAATCTAAGCATACACGTTTTGGAGCTGCAGTACAACTGGACAGTGTTGCCGGCCATGTGTTATAGACGATGTTATTCAACAGTGGGTTAACAGTAAGGCAGAATTGCTTCATTTCTCATGATTTTTTTGGGGGGGTGGGGTGTCTTTGGAAGAATTAAATAACTTTTGCATCAACAAATTCAAATTGAAGGGCTCTGTCTGTATGGTACTGTCTCCCTCTTTTTCCTGTTCCTCCCACTTTAGAGCATAGGGCATTTGTGAAATGCTTTGTTTTGCTTCAGTTTCTTAATCCTAAGACAGGCAGTAGGACTCACTCCTTGGATGGGGGATTAGTCCGTCACAAGGCAGCTACCTACACAAACACAAAATAAACACAGACATACATCCATGCCTTGAGTGAGGTTCAGACCCATGACCCCAGTGTTTGAGCCAGCAAATATGGTTCATGCGTTAGACCAGTGGTTCCCAACCTGTGGTCCGTGAACCCCCGGGGTCTGCGAGTAATTCAAAAGGGGTCCGCAGGATAGTTTATTTTCATTAAACTTTATCTTATCATGTTCCTCACACCTGGGATATTTGCAATGTATATCTCTGGCTCTTGAGGCCCATGGTTGAAGTAAAATTTAACGGGACTGTTGGTACCGTTACTTCTTCCATTTGTAAAGCAGAGGTGAATAACCAACGATTTGTGTAGCTTTTTCCAAGGACATTTTCTTTTGGTTGGCCTATTGCATCTCAGACCCGTGTTTCAGGGTGGACTGCTGTCCTGCTTACCTGCTGTCTGACCATACTCCCCCTCCCCACCAAATCCATCCCTCTTTGGTTGGGAATAAAGCTGGGACCTTTGATCACGTTTCTTGTTCATTTCAGTGGCAGAGTGAACAACCTATGTGTCTCTAGTTTTTGCGCAGTGAATTTTTATAATATTATACAAGTATGTTTTTCTCGGTTTAATGTTCAGTTTTTCTGCTCTTGTTCAAATAATTGAGTTCACAGCGAAACTTCTAATTTTCAGTTTGTTCACAATCATATTTAGATATGAATCGGTGGTTAAAGCGTGGATCGTTGATTAGGTGAGTGTTAAATTCATAATATTAGGCCTAATTGATATGTTCGTGATCTTCCGAATAAGCTCCATTTATAACAGTATTTTATTATCATAAATGACACATTTAGTGTTGTAAAATTATAAGTTACTGCTTCACTTTTATCATATGTAAAATATAAAAAATTTCCATTTTGGGTTTTATGGGGGCCCTGGTCAATTAACATTCGGTACAGGGGGTCCGCGGCATCAAAAAGGCTGGGAAACACTGTGTTAGACTATGCAGCCATTGTGATCAGCTCTGTATGGTACTGGTTACTTAGTAAGTTGGTATGGTGTGCCTGGGTCATACTTTGTAAAGAATGTTTGAAACTGTTTTACTAATTCAGACACCTCAGAGTTTGTGTATGTATGATATATTTTGAATGAAATAAAATAAATTTAAGTTCTCCTGAACCAAAACTGTGCTTCTTAATTATAATTAATTATCAACAGGAAGTTTTCTGGGCAGCAGAGTAACTGATCCGAGAAGACCCTGTGTAACAGAGGTGGCCTGTCTGTTACATGGCTACCTAAGATTAATATACCACTGTTGGTGATCAAGTTTAATGGTTAGTTCTGTATTTCAACATCCTGTTGCACATCCTTAATCAAACGTATATTTATTAATTCCGTCAATAATGCAACTATCATTATAACATTCACCATTCAACACTAACATGATGTATTTTGGCCACAGACGACCATCCTCAGGTGTTTCCATGAGTCCAGACTGTTACACTGCTTTGATGCACACTAAAATTGCTCGTTACAGTCCTTTTAAAATAACATAATTAATTACTTAATTCATTAAAGTTTTGTATTAAAATCTTTGGTAGAATCCTATTCCACCTCATAAGGGGCATCGACCACTTGTTGAAAGCTACGTGATATTCCAAACAGTTTTTCCACAGATTGTTTTCCTCTTTCATTAGCCCGTCTGCAATCTGCAATATGCCCTTTGCTTGTGTGTGTTCCCTTTAGCAGCATGTGGTGTTGTCTTCACTTGTGAAGGCTAGTGAACTATGACATGGCGTTTGGTGATCAAGTTACTTGTTATTGCAGCATGCATAATGAACTGGTACACTGCATCTTTCTACTCGTGTTGCAGGAACGAAATTCTGCTACACTTCTCTTCTCTGCTTTGGTAACCCGCATATTTGGTGTACACCGTTCCAGAGAAGAACTGAGTATACGAAATCGTATGACTGGGCGCATCTTCTTTTTGCGTTATCCATCATTGTATGAGTTTCTATTGGAAGAATTGAAAGAGGCTATTGCTAGCATGGAAGAATGTTATAGTAGTCTGCAGCCTGGCCTGTTCCCAGTTCTGTTACTGCTTTCAAGGCTGTACCCATCATCCCTAGAGGGAACAGATTCCAACCTACAGGTACAGTAGAGCTGTTAAATTGATGTACATCTGTTAGATTCTACACCCTTTGCTGTTGTCATGCTTCTTGATGATTATGCGTAGTGCTAATATTATTATTCGGTTAATAAGGTTATTTCTTGGATGCATATGTATAACATATTTTGTAAGTACTCATTGTTGTACCAAAATGTTGTCACTGAATTACTGTAAAATCAACATAAAGTTCACCCTGTGCTTAAATGCCATGGGGTACAAAACTTCAGGGGGAATGGAGGTATAGTTCCACACATTCTTAATATTGGCACCAGATAGTTAGTAGTCATTTTCACATGACAACCACTTTGGCCTCAGGAGGAGACTGAATGGGCCCTACTGAAGAGGAAAAGGCCCAGCTGCTACTGAGAATCAAACATCAGTTGTTGAGCCTATAAAAATTATACTGATTATAATTATACTACAATTTACTGATACCTGTCCCCATATGATGTACGAAATCTGAGCTAGGCCAGAAGATTCTAACACTGTTGTCAGATTTTCATCCGAACTCCAAATGTTGAGGCATGCACTTATCAGATTATGGATAAGAATGTTTTAGTGTCAGGAAGAATTGCCACATGACATTCATTCACAAAGTAGAGAGTTTGGCAGTGTACCTGGCAAACACATGACTTGGTCGTTGCTGCTGCGAGGGATGATTAAATTAAGATGGAACTGTGATCCATTCTGGCTCTTCTGAATTATTTAGATAAATTCAAGATGATCTCAAAAGTAAAAACTCCCTAAAATCAGAAGCTCACAAGATTGTAATAACAGAATACTAATTGTGTTCATTTTCTGTGATATTGTAACATTTTTGCAAAATTATGCTTTTATTGTTTCACCATTGACTATTTTTGCTATTTGTGCCATTTAAATTCAGTGAGAGCTAAGAAATCAATTAANGAACCCACGATCCCGGTTTCCAAGCGAGCGAAGACCGTATATGCCTTAGACCGCTCGGCTACCATGACCGGCAAATTTATATGTTTAAATCATATAAATACACATCAGTATGGATATTATTAGGGTACTGAAGTGATACATGACTAGATAGTTGATGCATATATCTTCTATAGGACAGAGGAGAAATGCATACAAACCTTTGATTGGAAGACCTGAAGGGAAGAGACCACTTCAGGGGCCTAGGCATAGACAGGAGAATAATATTGTGACATGTTGTACAATGGAGGACACCCCCTCCCTCCCCAGCGGCGGCGTGGCCGCTCTGGCCACGGTGACGTAGCAGGTGAGTCAGCACTCTGCCCCCCCCACCCCAGGCTACTTGGCACTGCTTCCTACTGTTACGAGACACACAACGCCGCTGTTGACACGGGCAACAGGCAACAGCGAACTGAATGAAAGCCGGCTGAGCAGCAAGCAAGAGTTAGTGTGTGATCAGGAGTGACACAGTTAGTGTGTGAACCGAAGCAACACAGTTGGAGTCGCGGAAAGAACTGGATGGGTGTGTAATTGTGTAATTGGGAGTGTGTAACACAGTGACACTTATATAGCTCCCGTACTGTGAATACGTGTAGACTACTGAACGGTGTGAAGAGATTATTGCGAATAGGGTTATAAAGTGTGAAACCCCGCAACAGTGTGAAGAGATTATTGTAAATAGGGTTATAAAGTGTGAAACCTCACAACGGCGCCTTCAGTAACCCAACACGTTACCATATTAAAGTGGATCATATGACAATGTTTAATGGATTCATTGGGCTCAGGATAGAGATCAATGGTGAACAGGGTGATGAAGTGTTTCATAAAACGGAGGGAATTTTTTGGCTAACTTATTGATTATTAGCTTCTGAAGAAGTGCTCTATTCCAATGAGTTAAGTACCTGAAAATTTGTTGCACAGGCACAAACAAGAAATTCTTTAAAGAATCTTAAAAATTTTTAATTGAAAGTGAGCTTGCAAATATTGTGTTCATTTTAACATATTTGTCATTACTTACAAGAGACTAGGAGAAATGTCAGAAGTGTGACGTGTTATGGACAGATGGATCTGGTGGCAGGGCTAGTTTCATGTGGTATTTGTCTGTGGTTTAGTGAATAAAAGTGAACCAAGATACAGGATTCATTCATAATGCAACTACATAACAAACAAATTCATTGAAAATGTGAAATGTTAAAATATTTTGGAATGGAAATGATGAAATATTGATGACAAAGCCAAAGAAAAAACACAGACTTGGGAAAAGCATGCTATAATTTAGTTCAGAATCTTTTATTTTCTCTCCAAGAAATTAAAGATTAAAGCCACAATTTTACATTATATTTTTATATTCATGGAAAGATTTGTCTCGCTCAAAAAGAGAACAAAGACTAAAGATGTTTGTAAACAGTGAAGATAATATTCATAGCTTATGGGGGGGGAGAGAAGACATGCATGAAGATCTCAGTTTGAGAATATTATAAAAAGAGTCACTTGCAGGAGCAAGGCACACACTAAGGTAATATTACTATTGAGTTCATAAAATAATTTGTTGGAATATGAAAATGCTTATTCAAAACGAATTTCTTGAAGAACAGAGTGACTGTTTGTTAAGGTCCTGTACAGTGATATAGTCAGTTAATCATGTCGTATTACTTTCATTTATTTAATTGGTTGGTTAATTATTCCAGATACTAACAAGATGAAATCTATCTATCTATCCCTGTTGCTTCCACCTGGAGCATAGGGCATCCATGAAATGCTTTTCATCCACTTCAGTTTCTTAATCTTGGACAGTCAGTAGGACTCCTTGGTTGGGGGATCAGCCCAATGCAAAGCTGCTACCTACACAGTAAAACACAAATGCAGAATAAATGCAAACATCCATGCATTGAATGATATTCGAACCCATGATCGCAGCTTTCAAGTGAGCGAAGATATTTCATGCCTTAAACCATGTGACCACTATGATCAGCAACAAGATAGAATAGACTCATTTGAATAGATCTGTTCCTTTTCTATAAAGAAGGATCCAGTGTTAAGCAGAAGACAGTCTTGATCCCTGTTGTTAGTGATTTCTGAAGAACTAATGGGGTCAACATTAAAACATTATTCTTTGACTAATACAATCATTTCAGTTATTACTTACTTTCTTAATGTATTGCTTACAGCTGAGTGTGTATGCTCCATTTGTTCACCGATGTTCCCTTAGCTCTGTGCTTAAGACCAGGGTGTTGGCTGCAAAGGCCCTGGTTCCTCTTGTTCCTCCAAACCAGCATCCATTATTACTTCAAGAACTGGTTACAATTTCAGCTCAGAAATACACAACAGAGAACCACAGGCATGGGCTGCTACTTCAGGTGATTGAACTGTTTTTAAATCATGAGGAAGGAAAAATGATATGAGGAAAAGTCTGTTATTTTATTAGATATAGATTTTATCCCATGGTAAGCGAGTTGTTTGTTACCATGGTATAAAACGAACTTGGGTTGTAGATGGTATGAGAGAACATCCACATATTTTGAATAAACAGCTGTGGACATTTGAGAGGAGTGGTCCTCTAACTTGAATGATGGGCTTGGGTCCAGCAAACACTCAGCACTAATGGTGCTGTATTGAGATGTAGTGAGCACATAAGAAACTTAGTGAAGTGCACCGCTTGAAAATGTATCAGTTTCTCTTATACTCTTAGTGACCAAAGCTATATCATGTTTTGTTTAAATGACATTTCAGGCTGGGCATCCTATATTTGTATTACTAGGTGTTAAAATTTCATGAAATTTTGTCAGTTTTCTAATAAATTGTTCTGATTTGGAACAGATTCACAGACATGATGATATTATAAGCACATCATCCCTTATAAAAGAAGGTGAAATAGGCCAAAATTAATAGGACTTGGACATATGGGAGGGTATAATAATATGATGCTAGATTCATGGCAAAGATTTGGGTTTGGGCTAGTGTGTAGTTGTTTCTCAACATGTTATGTCAGTGTTTATCAATGACAAACTAATACCAAAGTCATCGGTATGACATTTTTCAGAATGACCCCATTTCAGTTGAGATCAAATATACATTCAGTGAATTCCCTCATATTACATAGAACTCTTTATTTTCACATTTCAGTATGCATGTAGAGGGGGAGGATATTTTCATAAGCTAACAGTTGGAATGAGAGTATATATTAAACTAGTAGTCTAATGGCATTAGAGTATCACACTTCTCTAGTTCCAAAAATTGTCATGCCCCCACATTTTATTTCATAGATCTGATCACCGTGATAGTGTGCAAATAATGCTGACAGTAAATCATGAAGATCCACATTATGCATTTGTTTCCATCTTCTCATCTTTCATATAAAGTACATATATTATTCCTTATAAATTCCAAGTGAAAAGTATGTTTATTCATTTAATGTAGTTATTTTCTGTTGTAGATATTCCATCTTCTTGAAGAAAGTCTGTCAGCATTGTCTGTAAGCAAGGAAGTAGCAGAACGAGTTGAGCAGTGGATAGTTGATTTAAAATGGCTCCTTCCATCAGAAACAGGCTTTCAAATCTGTTTCGTTACATCAGAAGTGTTCTTGCGCATTCTGCATATTGTATCAAGAAGACTATTTATGTCAGTCAGCCATTCCATATGGCAAGAAATATGCAACGTTCTCAGCGTGGATTTGCTGAGATCACAGGTAAGTCCTCAGCATTAATTTTGAATTGAAACATCATTCTCACTAAAATGCAGTCCATGAGGTCCTTCAGACAACATAATTTTAGGAGGTGTAACTGGATTATAAGGGTATATATTCAGAAGTTATATATTTGGGTCCAAAATAGATCTTTATTATACAGAGTTTAATTGCAGTAGAATCTAGAGCACATGTTTAACTCCCCATGCATGTTACAAGCCTCCACCCATCTCATTTCACTTGCTTTAATTACTCTCGTAATGTATATGGTTAGGTTAGACATCTCCACAAGAAAGTGATTATAATCAATCAGTACTTTACAATTGAATATTTATTTCCTGCTACATGTTTTGGTCTCCTAGGACCATCATGAGGCAATGATACAAGAATATGTCTAGGGTCATTGAACTCCTAACATGGATCCATATTTAGTGTAATGCGACATACTCTACGATACAGAATTTGCGCCTCGAGTTAAATATAAGTATTGAAATGAAATATATAAAATATCAAGGATATATTAGAAGTATATAAGCATACTGACTCTGTATTAAAATTATTAAAAATGATGTATGACAAGTTTCAATGTTACAGTGCCTAGTATACCCTAGCAATATTTAGTGAAGATTAAGTATGAAGTCTTCATTATGTAATTTTGTTCAGTCCATAGTTACTTCCTCTTTCTCATGTCACATATTCCCTTTATCTCTATATAGTGGCCACGCCATACCTCAAGCGGTTAGTCGCTGGCTTCCCACCATTGCGGCCCGGGTTCGATCCCGGGTCTGGTCAAGTGGGATTTGTGGTGGACAAAATGGCGCTGGGGCAGGTGTTCTCCAAGTACTTCGGTTTCCCCTGCCAATCTTTATTCCACCAATTGCTCCACAATCACCCTCAACTATCATCTGGGGCTGGTACAATAGGCCAGAAGTGGCCACAGTACAAGGGACCCAGTCCCACCCCACTAGCAATAATAATGAAAAAAAATAATATCTCTATATAACTTGCAGAGAAATGTTTTCTGCTTTGTGATGAGTGTTTATATGGAAGACACAACATACATTACAGTAGGAGTTTGTAGTTATTAAAGCAACTTGAGTCACAACTTACAATGTAAAAGGAAAGCAAGAAAAAGACTTCTACTGTGGTCATCTGGGTTGTGACACCATATAGTCTGGTAAGTGATTACCAACATTTTAGAAGACCTTACTGATGGAGGCAGAGTTCCTCCAAAATATTGGTATCTGCCTACCAGGATATTTGGTCTCACATCCCAGAAACCCACAATATGAGTCATCGCTGGTGTAAAAGTCTTGAATTATAAGAAGAGAAAGGAGTGCAATTGCTGAGAAACCAATACAGAAAGTGTCATTGTTTAGAGAAAATAAATGCTTGTGTCACAACATGCACTACATCCATACAAATGAAAGTAACACTATCTGATTAAATATTGAATGGCATACCAATGTATTGTTCTGAATATTGGACGTTTTCTGGCCTGCCTGAAGAAAGCGACCACATAAACAGCTGAGGTCAGTATAATGTGTATTATAATGCAGATATAATTTTTCTATGGGTGATACCAATTTTCATATACTCTTCAAGTTTGTTGTTCCATTACATAGTGAGACATACTGAAAAACTAAAATGTGGCTGCATGTAGATAAATATTTGTATCAGTAACTTACTATATATAGTAAATAGAGTTTGGGATACCCATGAAACTAGTTAGGTTGATTAAAATGTGTTTAAACGAAACGTATAGTAAAGTCCGTGTATTTGTCTAATAAATTTCCTATCCAGAATGGTTTGAAACAAGGAGATGCTTTATCGCCACTCCTTTTCAACTTTGCCTTAGAATATGCAATTAGGAAGGTCCAAGAAAACCAGGTGGGACTGAGATTAAATGGGACACATCAGCTGTCGGTCTATGCCGATGATGTGAATCTACTGGGTGATAATGTAGATACCATAAAGAAAAACACACAAACTTTAATTGACGCAAGTAAAGAGGTTGGTCTAGAAGTAAACACAGAGAAAACTAAGTATATGTTACTGTCTCATCACCAAAATGCAGGGCAAAATCATGACATAAAGATAGGAAACAGATGTTTTGAAAATGTGGCACAGTTCAGATATTTGGGAACAATGATAACAGATCAAAACCTGATTCAGGAGGAAATTAAGAGGTGATTGAACTCGGGTAATGCTTGCTACCATTCAGTCCTGAACCTTTTGTCTTCTCGTTTGTTGTCCAAAAACATAAAAATTAGAATATACAGGACTATAATTTTGCCTGTGGTTCTGTATGGGTGTGAAACTTGGTCTCTGACATTAAGGGAGGAACATAGACTGAGGGTGTTGAGGAGAATATTTGGACCGAAGAGGGATGAAGTGACAGGAGTTTGGAGAAAACTGCATAGTGAGGAGCTTCATAACTTGTACTCTTCTCCAAGTATAATTAGAATGATCAAGTCAAGGACGATAAGGTGGGCATGTCATGTAGCATGAATGAGGGAAACGAATGCATATAGGATATTGGTGGGAAAGCCAGAAGGAAAGAGACCACAGGGAAGACCAAGGCATAGGTGGGTGGACAATATTAGAATGGATATTAGAGAGATAGGATGGGATGGTATGGATTGGGTAGATCTGGCTCAAGATAGGGACCATTGGATGGCTCTTGTGAACACGGTGATGAACCTTTGGGTTCTATAAAATGCTGGGAAGTTCTTGAGTAGCTGCAGAATTGGCGGCTCCTCCAGAAGTGCTCGGCTCCATGAGTAAGTAAGTAAGTAAGTATTCCGATCTTTTTAGAAGCAGTAGAACTGCTTATGTTATTTATTTATTTATTTAAAGGATCTTTAAATTAACCTAAGAGAGAAGTAAAAAGCTGAGTTGGAAAAAATTGCATAGTAAGTGATTTGATAAGTAAACTCTTCTTCAGATTTTATTAGGATAACCAAATCAAGGAGAATGAGATTGACGGGATGCATAACACGCATGGGAGAGATGATAGATGCATACCAAATTTAGCCAGAGTATGTGAAGTAGGAGATCTAGGTAAAGATGGTGGATAATATTAAAAGGGAATTAAAAGAAAGTGAATGTTAGAGTGTACACTGAATTCTGGCTCAAGTGTAATCAGTGACAGACTTTATGAATTTTTGCTTCTATAAAATGTGGGGAATTTGGGTAGCTGGATAACTGTTGGCTTCTCAGAATATCCTGTGCTTCATGGAGTAAATTGAAATTGCCAGCTATCATCAAGGGATGAATTTAAGTGGAAGAGCAAACAGATTATGGAAACAACATTAATGAAAGCAGTATAACTACCGTTTTCACTGTTCTGCCTCTTTTATATTTGTGTTTCTTCTGCTTGAAGAAATAAATGTGTTTGACTTGCAGGAGGAAGTACCGAGCAGAATGATTGGTAGAGGAATCTACTTGCGTCATGCAGTGCAGCTCCTGTTAGAACTATCACTTGTTCTGCATCCTACACACACTCCAACTCCAAGTTTCCTTAAAGATATGGAACAACTGTTAGTTCATCTGCTCTTCCATGCAAGATATGAAGTTGTCAAAATTGCACTTAGTTTCTTGGAAGCTCTTCTAGATACAGGAGATTATATATTGGAAGATGAGGAAGATTCTACTCTGCCAGTGGATAAAAGTTTTTATAGGCATGTGAAAGAATGGAACAGGAGTCATGAAGGAGTACTGGCCGATTCATTAAGATCTTCACCTGCTATTGGAGAGATACTAGTAAGGCAAATGGTACCGAAGGAACAGAGTACTTTTGCGGAGTGTTGTTGGAAGACATTTTGTGTATTAAGCCATTGTCCAAAGGCCCTTCTGAGAATGGAAACTGCAGCTGAAGGAGTACTGAGAGGCCTACTTCAGCGCTGTCAGAAGGAATGTGAAGGTATTGACTGGGCTGTGTTGAGATGTGCTGGGGCCCTCGTGAAGATTATGCAGCAGGAAAATGTATGTTTAAACAGTACATACACCTTTTTTGTTTATAGTTTAAGATAAAATTCCTTTGATTTTGTTAATTAAGTATGGTGAAAAGGCAAGATGAAAAATCTTGGATAATTGTGCAGTAATAACCATCAATACCAGTATTCTTCTGAAGAGAATGGAAGGAAACCCAATCCAAAAATTAGTAATTCAGGTTACCTTCTTGTTATTTGATTGTTCTACTAGTATGATGATATAGTCCATTCAAAACTGATTTCTGCAATTTATAACAGGCTTGTAGAGCACTCCTTTTAAATCACTGCAACAGAGTTCATGAAAATGATTATGAAACAAACATTGCAGCAGTTTTCCAAAGTCACATCAGAAGAGACCTTCAGACTTTGCAGACATAAAGCCAGTCATCATATGATTTTGAGAATTTGTATACATTAAAAATATTAAAGGTTTATTATGATATTTTGTTATTAAGGGTGCCTTGTTACCATGGCATGTCATATCCTCTGGTTGTAGATGGAGAAAACATCTATTTGATAAACACAATTTAACAACACTGTCATTAACTCAAGATACGTAGTATTGTAAGGTTTCAATAACATTTTTTTTTTAAATAATGTGAAATTTCCATTTTTTCACTAAAACTAGGACATGATAAAAATTAATAAAAAAACTCAGTAATACATTATATATTAAATGTAGTGAAATTTAAACACACAAAAATGAGCTCAAAATGATTGATTTAGAAACATGGCTGTTAAAAAAATAAAATTATTTGTTTTGAACAGCCAGGTTATGTTTTTGTTTTCACATGATTGATGATGTCGAACTGACCACCATGTGCAATGCAAAATTTCATGTTGCATAATGTGCATTCAGCATTCTTATTCACACCTATAATAAAGAGATATTCACTTTTAATTAATACAGTGCTTGCATCTTGCCATCACTGTATGGATGACAACCGATAAATTCTCACAGGCTCTCACAACACAACGTAACATTCGACAAAGAATGCAGAGAATGATACAAACAGAACTTCTGTTATGGAAAAAAATCAAAATACTACTAACATAAATAGAAAAAAAAACACGCATATATATATTGCCAACAGAAAAACTAATAATTTGTGAAATTGTGTTTTGTGAATTAACCACCAGGGGTGTTAACATCATTATAGAAATGCCAGTTGCAGAGAATAGCATCCATTACATAGCAGTTATCAATAGAAATTAATGTTACAGAAGAGCACTTAAAAAGCAGGACATTGAAATAAATCTGGGACAGCAGGATATTATTATGAAAAAACAGAACTGTCCCGGGAAAAAAACAGGACAAATGGGAACTCTGTAGTGTTGAATATTAAGATGATTAGTGAAAAATTATATAGAAAAGACGTGGAAGGAAGTGTTCATGTCTTAATTTGAAATACTGTCCCAGCAGTTGTGTGGAGAGGCAGAGAAAAACTACAGAAAACCTATCAGGATAGCATGTTTCCAGACTGACATTTGAACCTGGGACCTACTGAATACAAAGCATGAGTGCTAACCCTTTGACATTTGAACTTGGGACCCACCAAATAGAAACCAAGAGTGCTAGCCCTCTGGTGCAACATCTGGTTTGATCATGATCATTTTCAGATTAATGAATTAATGTTCAGGGTATTTTTTTTGCCACATCTTTTGCTGTTTATCTCTAATCAGTTACTTTTTATGTTTCTAGGGTTGATAGGATATTTGGTTACCCTGCCTATTAAAGCATTCAGATGGACTCATACTTATTCTTATGATGTACTTAAAAATAATTATACATATATTTGTCTCATTCACAGAAAGTGTGCTTTAAACTACATAATATTATGGATGAGAGTACTTAACTTGTCTTATATTCAGTAGTTCACTAATGGTTCCCAGTACATTTATTGAGATTACTGGAACCTCTTTTACTCAGTAATACATGAACTAAGCTTCCTTCTAGCTGAACTGATACGTATATATAAATATTTATTTCAATGAAATAAAATTGATCCTGTTGCTGCATGACTTAAGTCATTGAGGTGTGGTAGGTAGTCAGAAAAGACCCTTCTGCAGTAGTAGTTAGTTAGTTAGTTAGTTATTGGAGAGGGTGGGTTTCCCCATGCACTTAGACCAGTATTGGTCCATTGTGCTTCCCTCTATGATATTCTACCAGTCCCTATATCCTACCGATATTGGTGCGCACCATCAGTCCCGACCAAGCCAGCGAGTTCGGCCTCTACTGGCTTAGTGGTATCTATAATGCTTCCCCCATCTATCAGAGATGTTAGAGACCACTGTTGGGCGGGAAACATCCTTGAATTTGGCTCAGTGACCTCCTTTGGAGTTATGAGGTTCTTTTACGTGCCGTAAAGCTACGACACAGGACCCACGGCTTAAAGTACCTCCCGGAGGACTTGTTCCCTGAATTTTTCCGCCCTTAAAAATTCCACGACCTCCGCCGGGTTTGAACCCCCGTACCACGAGTCATCAGGTGGGAACGTTACCTCTAGACTACGGAGGCCGCTTTTCTGCAGTAGTAAGAAACAGGAGTTATACCTACCAGAATGTTTTTCACATAAGTCCCAAAGAGCACATGACACTGATTATGAGTCTTATTTTAACAAGATTTGTCTGTTTCATGTATAGGTACCACTCACAGCAGAAGTTACCAGTGAGGTATGCTGTACTTTGGTTGAGTTTTCTTCAACAGACAAATCTTCAACATGCCGACTGACTGTGGCAAATATCTTGCTGGACAACACTTCTTGGCTACAGGGCACAATGACATTCCTCTCAGGTATGGGTTGATTTAAGTGGAATTCTTCTCTACAGTAGGCATGATGGCATTGAGGATCACCAACAGTATAGTGACAGACTAGAGCTGTGTGACCTAGGTTTGATTCTTGACAGGGGCAGAGATTTTTTTTTTTTTTTTGTTTTTACCACAGTATACAGACAATCCTGGGTCCCATTCAGCCTCCTATCCAGTGGTTTACTATTGGTCATGGTGCAAGGATGGTCAGATGCCACCGCTTTGTATTCTGTCCTGTTCTGCCAAGTTGATTACTAGGAATTCTTCTATGGTGGTAAAATGGCTGGAACCAGAAGCTAACCATTCTTTTCCATCTAGTACCAAGGTGAAGCTATACCTCCACTCCCACATACGTCAACTGACTGTGTCATATTAGAACCCTAAGACTTAATACTCCTAACCCAAAGCTGTGACACAGGACCCAATCCTGAGCTAGTTCCCCTTGCCAGTCTACATTACAGAAACTTATTTCCAAACGTTTTTTTTTTAATACCCTCTTCCCATCTCTAGCTTTGTTTTTCATTGGCTGCTTCTGAAGTTTCAGTCTTAAAATCCTCTTTATGTTTCTCATTTCTCCATCAGATTATAGAATCTTGTTCTTTTACCCCACCATAGAGTGGAAGTGTATGATAGAATTATTTACATTTATCAGTGGCCTTTGTGCTGACTTTTTGACTATGTAATAGCAGGTTCCTTGACCTCAGGAAAGTGTTTGTAACGGATGACAGCTCATGAAGAAATTTTAAAATATTAGAAAATGTAAATACTACACATATGTGCATATTTGTCTAACAGAGTTGTGACAGTGTAGGCATGGAGGTGTATACCAAGAGTTTGGAGGAACATACCGCCTCAAACTTCAGGGTTGCAATATATAAAGGATGAACATATATTTACATATGTATGTTCCATGTTCTGTCACTGTTAAATTGATTTATCAGTTACACTCTTCTGTACCCAAGGGTTATTAGACAAGATTTTATATGAGTGATGAAGATCAAAGCCCTTGCAAAAAAAAAAAAATAGATAATTTAGTTTCTTAAAAATGGGAGTAATACAGTTTTTTCCCCCATTGTTATAGCAGTTAAGGTTTGAAAGTAACAAAGTACCCATTCTTTCTCCAGGTTTTTCATAAAATAAACCATACTGAATTGCTGATTGCTCAGATATATTCCTTTTGACCCCAGTTCACATGGGTGTATACATAAACTATGGCATGTTTTCTCAGCACACTGTGCTGCCCATTATTATTTTCCAGTGAAGCTTTTGTAAAGACCATTTCTTTCACAAGGCTAATCATTTTGCTGTGAATACATAAACATTTCAGTTTTAAATTATTAATATATAACCTTCTAAACATTAGGAGGAAGAACTGAGCTAGATTACTGGCATACTGGGTATGCTATGTGCTGAACAACCAGGGAATCTGGATTCAATTCCTGACAGGGCCCAAAAGGTTTTTTTTTCTCCAGTGTCCAAACTGGTTATGGGGCACACCATTCCCTACTATACAATGTCTACCAGGGCTCTTTCCCTGCGAAGTGTGAAGCTGAATATTCATATACATCTAGTATCTATATATACGAGGGGGTACCCAAAAGAAACCGAACTTATTTTTTTTTAAACTTATTTATTCAAATTTTAAGCACAAACCTTCAATCCCCTTCAAAGTACTCTCCACTTACACTAATACACTTGTCTAGTCTTTTATTCCATTTTTCAAAACACTGTCTAAATTCATCTTTTGAGATGCCTCCGTCATTTTTTCCTTTCATGTCTCTTTTCATTCGAGGAAACAAAAAAAAAGTCACACGGGGCAAGGTCGGGTGAGTATGGAGGGTGAGGAACAGGGGTCATACCATTTTTGGTCAAGAATTGTCATACAGACAGGGCTGTGTGAGCAGGGGCATTGTCATGATGGAAAAACCAGTCACCCGACTGCCACAAATCTGGCCGCTGAGCTCCAAGTCACTC